GGTGACTCTCAGCTACTTGGATCCTGTCATCCACATGGAACCCAGATGGAGTTCTGGGCTCCAGGGCTCTACATGGACCAGCCCAACAAGTTCTCAACAGGTTTCCAAGCATGGGTTGGGGAGTGAACCAGAGGGCCAAACGTTCTCTCTTACTTTTGTATTTAAAAGTCAGCCTGTGGGCCCAGCGCGGTAGCCTAGTGGCTAAAATCCTCGCCTTGAACACGCCAGGATCCCATATGGGTGCCAGTTCTTACCCCGGCAGCACCACTTTCCATCCAGCTCCCTGCTTGTAGCCTGGGAAAGTAGTTGAGGATGGTCCAAAGCTTTGGGACCCTACAACTACATCAGAGACCTTGGAGGAGGCTCCAGGCTCCTGGCTTCAGATTGGCTCAGTTCTGGCCGTTGTGGCCGCTAGGGGAGTGAATCAACGGACGGAAGATCTTCCTCTCTGTATATGACTTTGCAGTACAAATAAATAAGCTTTAAAAAAAAGTCAGCCTGTGAACACCAGTCAATCATATTCCTCTATCATGAGGAAGAGAACTCCTCCCTCCGTGCCGCCGAGAGCAGCTTGGAGCCTTGGTACAGGAGCTCCATTCACACGGGGGTATGAGCCTGGCACATCCTGTGGCTGCTCGCACTGCTCCTCTCCTGGAAGGCACACAAATGTAGAGTGAACCCTCTCTAGGAGGCCATCTAGCACAAGGAGCGACCCTAAGAGCAATACAGAATCCACAGCCCTCCTTCCTGGGACTGCTTGCATCCGCCTTTGCTGCCAGGCTCCCCAGCAGTCATTTGCCTGTGGATGCACTGGCCTCCCCCAGGAAACTGACACCTGAGGGTAAGGGGCTTGAAGCTCCTTTGTACCAGCAGATTCCAGCCAGGCATCTGAGCCACTTCAGACTCCTGAGCCCTTTATACACATTCCGCACCTCAGTGAAGGTTGAAGTACCTCCTCTGCCATGTAAGAACAGAACACAGGACAAGGGTCCGCACTGTGCTGCAGCACCACGAACCACCCAGGACTCCTGATCCCACAGCGCAGCGTGGGATCAGACCCAGCTGCTCCACTTCCCTGCCACCTTCTGCTACCTGGAAGGCAGTGGATGATCCAGCTGGGGGGGGGGGGAGGGGTCCTGCCAGCAGGCCCTGAGACCACTGAGGGGGTGAGGGAGGCATCAGTGTGTTTTGGTCATAAGAACTACAGGAGACACTCTGATTGAGCATGTCCATTTATCGTAAAGTGAGCACAACTTACACAGATTAGGAAAATAGAAGGCAGAAGGGCCTCGACAGGCCTCCCACCCAACAATGACACTGTAACTGGCTAGAAGGCAAGTCTCTCTCTGGATCCTCCAACCAAGCTACAGGTCTGGAAGCTGTGCCTCAGGTCACAGGCAGGTAGGCCATGAGTACTATAGCACGTAAGCTGGAAGCTATGCCTCGGGTCATACTCACCACTGTGTGGATTTGACTTCTTAGAATTGCTTATCAAAGAAGTTCCAGCATAGCCTGTCCAAGGATACAGACTGGGGTGCAGTCCACCACTCTCACTGCCTTCCCAGTGAACAGGCCATGTTGAGGTCTCTGTTAGGCAAAACCACTGCCAGGGGACTAAGCCATAGGGATCTAGGGGCACTCTCTCTCAGGTCCAAGCACTGGACCCCTGCCATTCCTGTGAAAGGGGGCTGTGCTGGGGTTCCTGGCTCCTGTGGGCATTAGAAGCTCACTCTTCCTCTACTTCATCTCCTGGTTCTGCCATTTTGCCTTTTAAGTACAAAAAGACAACACAAACTTGCACTAATATTGCAGAGATCATAAGCAAGTCCCAAGAAGTTCAGAAGAAATAGACATGCCAAGCTTGAGTTGGGAAAACCAGAGACAATAAAGCATTTTCTGGATATTCAAGGGTGCAATAAGAGGGCATCTGAGCAGGAGGCGGCTAGCAAGAGAATCTGTGCAGCGATGAAAGCTGCTGAGCCTGGCTGAGCTGCAGTCGCATGCTGTCCTGCTGAGGCACAGCCAGGACACAGTCCAGGCCTGTACTGCTTCACCTGCAGGGGGACGCTCCTTCAGCCTTCACCAGGGTCTTCCTCAGCTTCTCCCCAGCTCTGGGGGCGATAACCATGCTTGGGCACCAACAAGGGAGGCTGAACCTGTCGAATGGAAAACGCTTCTTTTGTTGTGCTAGACACTGGTGTCATCTTGGACAAGAGGTACATATATTCCACTACAAGGGACTTGCCACTTTGAAAGTCACCTCTGGGGGACAGGGTCAGAAAACATATTCCTGTTCAGGTGTTCAAGAGGGGTTCACCTCCGGTGGCTGTAGGAAATCATCAGAAATGAGACAGGTTTTCCTCCCAGACTGTCCATACTCCTCCTGGTCGGTATCTCCAGCAGGAAGTGTGCTGCAGGGAACTCAGAGGCTCAAAGCGGCCCCTGCTGCCACTCATTGGAGAAAAAAATGCCTGCAAATGTTAGAATGTGTTACAAACTGCTAGAATGGAGCCCTGGCATCTCCAAGGAGTAAGCAGTTTCTTCTTAAAAAATATTTCTATTGGAAAGTCAGATACATCGAGAGGAGGAGACAGAGAGAAAGAGCCTCTGTCTACTTATTCACTCCGCAAGTGGCCACAACAGCTGGAGCTGAGCTGATCAGAAGTCAGGAACCTCTTCCAGGTCACCCATGCTGGTGCAGGGTCCCAAGGCTTTGGGCTGTCCTCGACTGCTTCCCCAGGTCACAAGCAGGGAGCTGGATGGGACCGTTGGGATTAGAACTGGTGCCCATATAGGCTCCCAGTGCATTCAAGGCGAGGACCTTAGCCACTAGGCTACTGTGTCAGGCCCTCAACCATTTCTAACACCAAGTTTTCTCAGTGCCTTTTGTTCTGTAAGGAAGGTGGGAATGGTGATCCTACGATTCAAAGGACTCAGAAAATCCAGTTGTAAACACAAGTTTTACTTCGAGCCTCCATCAAAGGCTCCCTTTCTGGAGGAAGGGACCCGTGGCACATTTTGGTCTAGGTGATGCTGACACCAGAAGTGGGACTGTGTCCACTCCACAGGCTCACATCATAGCTAAGGGCAGCTGCTAATGTTTACTCAAAGAAGGTTTCTAGAGAGCTAGGGAGAGGAGGATCTTGACATATCAACTTATGCAACAGTAAAAGATGAATTCCAGGAGCGTTGGAGTTGAAGCAAGACGGGTTAAGCTGCTATGACAACCGCATCCCTATGAGCACTGACTCACGCCCCAGCTGTTCCACCTCCAATCCAGCATCCCAGGAAGTCAGCAGATGATGGTCTAAGTACTTGCACCCCTGCACCCTCGTGAAGACACCCAGATGAAGCTCCTGACTTCAGTCTGGACCAGTGTTGGCTGCCATTTGGGGAGTGAACCAGCTGATGGAAGATCTGACTTTCCAATAAATTAATCTTTATGAAAAATGAATTCTTAAACTAAAGAGAAGTCATTTGGAAAAAGGACCAACTACAATTACTTTAAAAGATGGAAAATGAACATTTTCAATAAGACATTCTAAGCATTTGTACTGGTTCTATCAGGGGTCTGCTCGACATGACAGAGTACCCTTCGTGGGTGGGCACCACCTGCTCCGTTGAGGGAGTCTGCTCTCCAAGAGCAGGGTACATCTCCTGTCTGATCATTGGAATTCAGGCCCTCTCCACTCTGGTCCCTTCAACCAAGGTCTCCATGATCCACCCGGTTCTGCTGCCTTCCAACTATGACTAAGCCACAGGACCTTGCTGCTTCTCCCTAGTGGACAGCCCACTGGGAGTGCTGTCTCTACACTCACATGGCTGGGCTCTCTGGAGAATCCTAGTACATCAAGAGAAATAGGCAAGCTCCCACGAGGGTGTTTCCATTGTCAACAGGGAGTGACAAAATTAATACCTATATTGTACTGGGTGAGTTTTTTTAACAGTCAGTATCTACTAAGAGTTTATGGTAACATAAAACACCACAAATATTTCACTACAAGCAGTCTCTAGGTTATGTTACCAAAAATGGCTGCAGTGATTGCAGTGGATCCAATCTGAAGCCAGGAGCTAGGAGGTCCTACCAGGTCTCCCACACAGATAAAGGGTCACAAGGCTTTGGGAGACATCCGTTACTGCTTTCCCAAGCAGTCAGCAGGGAGCCATATGGGTCGTGGAGCACCTGGAACTTGAACCAGTGTCCATATGGGATCTCGGTGTTTGGAGATGGATTAGCCAAATGAACCATCACTCTACAATTTCCTTTTAATCTGATTAAAGATTCTGTGTAAAAGACTTCTTTCAGATGCTTTCTTACAATCTTACGAATGAAAATTTTTAGGATATTTTACTTATATTCATTAAAATCTTAAAGCTCTGAAAAACACCCCTTCTGGGCCCAGCGTGGTAGCCTAGGACTGAAGTCCTTGCCTTGAAAGCGCCAGAATCCCATGTGGGCTTTGGTTCATGTCCTGACAGCCCCGCTTCCTAGCCAGCTCCATGTCTGTGGTCCGGCAAAGCAGTGGAGGACAGCCTGGGGCCTCAGGATCTTGCACTTGTGTGGGAGACCTGAAGGAAGCTCCTGGCTCCGGATCGGATCACTTCTGGCAGTTGCAGCCACTTGGAGAGTGAATCATCAGATGGAGGATCTTCCTCCCTCTCTCCCCCACTCTCTGTATACCTGATTTTCTAATAAAAAGTCATCCCTTACAGTCTTTTTCACACAAGCTAGTATAGTATATAAGTAAACGTCAAGAACCCTGTCTACAAGATAAACTGGTCAAGGTCTACTTAAGGTCTACTTTCCTGCTAATAAATGGAAGAAAAAACTAACATGACTTATCTCCAATCTTTAAATATAAAAGTACCTCTGATAAAGAAGTATAGGAATGAAGAAAATGAAGGAAGGAGATCCTAGTTCCTACAGCTATCCTGACATGGCGATGTGTGGTGTGGTACGACGTGGTATGACACGTGAAAACATGTTAAAACAAAATGAGCACAGGTCAGGTTTCCTTTTAATAAACCAACTCATCCAACAGCCCAGGCACACACCGCATGGAGCACCCCGTCAGTCCTTGCGCAGGGGCACAGTCTCCTCCCGAATGCCCTCCTTGGTCACAATGCAGATGCGGAGGGCGTCCCCAGTGTACACATCCCTCTCGGCTGCAGAGATGAAGACGTCTTTCACCAACCGCATGGCTCTGTCCAAGGTCAGTGGGACATGCTCCACATTCTGCATGTTTTTAAAGCCAACCTAGGGGCAGGACAAGGAGAAGCAACCCGTGTCACAAATGCCTCTGCCTGTGGGCTCACTATGAACACTATCTTGCACACTGCCACACCCCAGGACCAGAGTCCTCCAGGCCTTGTTGTGCCACCGGCATGACACCATAAGCACTGCCTTGAGAGCAGAGACCTGCCATCATCTACACGAACAGCAGCAGACAGTCGCCCAATCTGCCAGCAGGTAGCCGTAGCAGGAGACACCTTCGCAGTGTACAGGGAAAAGCAGGGTCTGGGTCTCATGAGTATATGTATGATGTAGCGTCATGACATAGTGATAGGATACATGTAGCATGGTGTCCTGTGACGTGATGAGCAGCACGTTATGCCGAGTATGATGTCATGTGATGTGACATGGCCATGTGTGGTGTGGTATGGTGTGGTGTGGTGTGAAGCAGGGGGCAGTTAATATAATCTATTTCGGAAGAGCAAGCAGATAGAAAAGAAGCAAACTGAAGCAGAAAGGATGCTAGGAAATAAACCCAATAATGATGCTCTGAACTGAGTTAACGGTAAAGAAAAGAATAACAAGTTAAAAAGAAATCTTGGAGGTAGCATACAAAATCAGGGGACAGAAATGAATGACAAAGGCTTTGTGTCCCTAAGACAAGATGGAAACAGAGGAACTGAATACAGGAAAAGCTGGCCATGCAATGGTAAGAGCTCACAGGCAGGCTGGCAAACAGAGATGGGAAGGTTTGGGTAGGCCCATCAGAAGACATCCAGGAAAGCCCACAGCAGCACTGGGGGAAGTCTCCTTACCTGGTTGTCCAGCAGGGGTTGCAGCATGGCGCTGGCAGAGCCTCCAGCCTTGAAGGAGTCTCGCTGGTAGGACCCCACTGGGTCAAAGCTGTACACAGCTCCCTTCCCTTAAGGGAGAAACAAATCCAGATTAACATTCTAATCCTAACCCAAAACACAGGAAAAAGAAATGCAGCCAGATACGAATCAAGCTGCACTACCAACTTGATTTGTAGTTTCAGCCAGCAGCCAGAAGAGGCACTACTGAGCAAGCTAGCTCCTTAGGGTCATCCTCCATCTCTATTAAAAAGGCTCAAAATGTGGTCACAGGTCAGAGCCCCACACCACCTCCCTCACGCTCTCCTTGCAGCCAATCTGCCTGCCACAAACCTCATGCTGTTTTCTTCCCAGAGTCACCATCTAATTATCCTGTGGCCCCCAACACACAGCTCACTCTATGGAGACACTAGCCATCAGGGCCTGGCACTGTGACATCTCATACGGATGCTGGTTCGAGTTCCAGCTGCTCCACTTCAGAGCCAGCTCCCTGCCAATATATCTAGAAAAGCAATGGAGAACGGTCCAAGTGATTGGGTGCCTGCACCCACACTGGAAGCTAACAGCACCTGGCTTCTGTCGGGTTTAGCCACGGGCATCGTGGTCATTTGGGGGTGAAATCAGTAGCTGCAGACCTATCTTTCCCCCCACTCCACTCCCGTAGCTCTGCCTTTCGAATGCATAAATCTTTAAAAACAACGTACATGTGAAGTAAACATTCACGTTAGTAATAAAACGAGAGCCAAGTATTCTGCAACAGCAGGTTGTGCTGGAGTCTGGAATGCTCACACTTCACACCAGAGTGTTAGTTTGAGTTGCAGCTACTCTGCTTCCGATCTGGCTCAGCTCTAGGGTCTTTGCCCCATTCAGGAGAGCCAGATGGCGTTCTTGGCTCCTGGCTTTAACCTGACCCAGCAGGAGTTTCCTCATGGTCTCCCAACTGGGTGTCAGGGGTCCAAGAAATTGGGTTATCATTCACTGCTTTCCAAGGCACACTGGCAGAGTTAACCTGTTGGGAGTTGAACTGGCATTCCAAAATGAGATGCCTGTGTCCCAGAACGAGGCTTGACAATGACTCCCTAAATTCATAAATTATTTTTCTAAACAAGATTTATCTCATTTATTTGAAAGGCAAAGTTACAAAGGAAGAGGAAGGGTCAGAGCTAGCAAAGCAATCTCCCATTCCATCTGCTGTTCACTCCTAGACAATGGCCAGAGGCTGGGACAGAGAGAAGTCAGAAGCCTGAAGCTTCTTCAGGGTCTCTCGACTGGGTGGCAAAGGCCCAAGCACTGGACCATCCTTTGCTGCCTTCCCAGGAACATTATAGGGGAACTGGATCAGAAGTAGAGCAGCCAGGACTTGAATTGGCACCCATCAGGGCTACAGGCACCACAGGATACAGGCAGGCTTATCTACTGTGTCACAACACTGGCCCCAATTCACTCATTCTTGATAGTTACAGTGGTTGGGGGAAAGGGACCTTTCAGACTCTGAAAATGTAATGGTATCTAACACCCAGTAATAACCTCATTTGTAAAACAGGGCTGATCTTACAACAGTATAGACAAGTACATTTCTGTTATTTGAAAGAGCAAAAAATTACAAGCAATCTAAAATCTCTTAGTGGCAAAAGGGTTCCCCTACATAACCCCCCCCAAAACAAGGGGTAAAAAGGTGCGAACAGACCCTGAGAAAAAATGTGCCACCATGCACACTTCTGTCAGATAGGTGAGAGGGACAGGACTCAGGGTAAGGCCAAGTGCGTCGGAGGTGCTGGGTGTGCACACCACTCTCCTGGCAGTCCAGGAACAGGAATGCTTATCTACCTGTCACAGGACTGGGACACACTCACGGGAGAATCTCAAATGAAGACGATTCTAGAATATACAGTATCATGCAGCTTTTGTGTAAGTTAACAGACAGATGTCTGTGTAAACTTCCCTTCTAACTGCTGAGGAAGGAGGTTTCTCACTTAAAAAGAAAAAGTCTGCGAAGAAAAGTAGCAAACTGTAGCTGCTTATCAAGACTTCATATGCCTCTGCACTATTTGGGTTTCTTACAAACAACATCACTATGTAACACTAAGCAGAGTGCTGTTTGGGTTGTAAGAGGATGCCAACGAGAAAGAAAGACTAAACATCATTTACCAATACAGCAACCAACAGGTACACAAAGACTATCATCTACCAAAGCAAAACACAGGAAGATGCTATCTCAACAGTGTATGAAACAAGCATATTTTGGTAAGCAGAGATAAATACTTCAATAAATAAATGAAATAAAACAACACTGTCTTTGGGCAACAGAAAAAGACAACACAGACCGTTTTATTATACATGCAAATTCCTCTATATAATAAAAAGAACAATTTAGAAGGACTGCACTACACAGAGGGTAATACTTCTGCATGTAACGCAGGCATTCCATACAGGTAACCAGTTCACACACTGGCTGCTCTGCTTCCAATCCAGCTGCTTGCTAATGGCATGGGAAAAGCGGGGGAAGATGGCCCAAGGGCTTGGACCCTGCTACCCACGTGGGCAGTCCGGAAGCAGCTCCGGCTTCAGTCCGGCACTGCAATGGTCATGACAGCCATCCAAGGAATAAACCAGCCAATGGAACCTCTTCGGCTTTCCCTTCCCAACTTCCAAATAAATGAACAAATTTTTAAAAAGCAAAGAAAAAGACGTGATTCAAAAATTGAAGGGGCGCGGTGGACTAGCAGCTAAAGTCCTCGCCTTGAAACCGCTGGGACCCCATATGGCCGCCAGTTCTAATCCTGGCACCTCCACTTCCCATCCAGCTCCCTGCTTGTGGCCTGAGGCCGTCGAGGACAGCCCAACGCCTTGGGACCCTGCACCCTCATGGGAGACCTGGAGGAAGTTCCAGGCTCCTGGCTTCGGATTGGCGCAGCACTGGCCAGTTGCAGTCACTTGGGGAGTGAATCATCGGACGGAGGATCTTCCTCTCTGTCTCTCCTCCTATCTGTATACCTGATTTTGTAATAAAAATAAAAATAAATGTTAAAAAAAATATTTTGAAAAGGCTAGAGGAATTACATTAAACCTTGGGGCAGGTGCCATGGCACAACAAGTTAATCCTTCACCTGTAGTGCTGGCAGGCCATATGAACAGGGGTTCAAATCCCAACTGTTCCACTTCTGATCCAGCTCCCTGCTAAAGCGCCTGGGAAAGCAGCAGGATAGTCATCCGAGTGCTTGGGTGCCTACAGCCATCCACAGGGGAGACCTGGAAGAAGCTCCTGGCTTCTGAAGGCCCAGCTCTGGCTGTCGTGACTGCTGGGGAGTAAAGCAGCAGATGGAAGATCTGTCTCTCCTATAAAACTGCCTTTGAAATAAAAAAATAAATCTTTGAAAAGTCACAGAGACAGAAAGATTTTCCGCCTGCTGGCTTACTTCCCAATGTCCCCAGCTGGGCAGGCCTAAGCTGGGAGGAGGAGCATCCAAGACTCCCATGCAGGTGCAGGGGCCCAAGGACTGTGGGCCATCCTCCACTGCTTGTTCAGGCTATAAGCAGAGTTGGACAGGAAGTGGAACAGTCCAAATGTGAACCAGCACCCACATGGGATGCTGGCACAACAGAGAGCATTAGGGTGCTAAACCATGCCGTTAGCCCCAAAATTTATTTTGTTTAAGACAAAAATACTACTACTGCATGAGGAGCCTAACAAAAGTAACTGAAAACTCAACATTTCACTTGCTGTCATTTATTTCCTTTTTGGTTTCAGCTTCTTCATCAGTTTCATCACCATAAAGTGACACTAGGGGCAGTGCTGAGGCACAGCGGGTTATGACACCACTGTGACACCAGCAAACCAGGAAACGAGGGTTGGCTCAACTCTTGCTTGTTCTGCCTTCATTCCACTTCCCTGCCAACATGTCCCGTGGAAGACGGTCCCTCTGACCCACACGGGAGGCTCAGATGGAGTGCTCCTGCCTCTGGCCTGGCCCTGACAGGCTACCCAAAGATTCACCAGCAGATGGGAGATCTCTTCCCCTCCCTCTGTTGATCTGCATTTTGAATAAAAACTGAATCTTAAAAACAAAACCAAACCAGAAACGTCCCCCAAAACCCAGAAAATGAAGCTGCTGTTTATGATTCTTTGACTCTAGAAGGAAATCTACACATCTAAGATATAACACTCCTTCCATTTCCCAGAAAGACAGAATTGTACCTTCTTCATCCAGTCCCCCGATGATGTTGTACACATAGTATGGGAAGAAGCGCCTGGAGTACAGGATTGTAGACAGCATCGCAGCAATGGCTCCTGTTGTCATGGCCTTATTGTTGGAATGCTTATACATCTGCAAGAGTCGACATGATCTCAATGGGTTCCTGTTTCTTTCACGACCAAACAACACAGTGTTAGGGTACTTTATTTATTACTCTTTTGGTGGGCTAAAGTAAAATTTCAGGGTAGAATCATTAAGTCTGCCCTCAGCTCTCTGGGTTAAACCTTTTTTTCCTATGCCATCCTTGTTTTAGACTCTACTGGTTCCAGATCAAATGTGCACGCACAAATCTCACCAACCACTGGCACCTAGAAGCTTCTATTGGAATTTGGCGAAAGTCAGTCATTCTGTGCTACCTACAGCTACTGTCTTTAACACTGTGCACACCTGAGTAGCTGTGACTGAAACCAAACAGTCCGCAAAGCTGAGAGCATTTACTGCTGGCCCTCCACCAATAAGTCTGCTGACCCCTGACAAGACCCAGATCCAGCCCCTCTCTGCAGACAGGTGCAGTGAGGACTCATGATCTGAAGGCAGCATCCTAACCCCGCAGCCCGACTCCAACTCCCACAGCACCAACAATGCAGAACATGATGAATCTGAAGTGAGACGGCAATACAACACTTTCACAATTCTAGATTTCCCAAATCACCCAAACGAAGTTCTATAAACGCACACACTGAGTTTAAGTTTGCCATTTCTTGTCAAGTACAAAGCAAGTTTCTGTGAAGAGAACCCTTCACAGAAGTACTGTAGGCAGTACTGTAAGATCAGATATGGGAAGTGATTTCCAAGGTAAGCTCTTTGAAAAGACTTTATTTCATTTTATCTCAAAACCAAGCATCAACAATTATTTATGTCAGCACTTATGTAATGATGTATGAAAGAAACACTTAGGAAGGGCTACACATCAACTGCTTATTATTTTATTAACAATCACACACATATTTTTGGTTTCCTTATGTAAATATGCCAGTAAATCCCAATTAAGTCAGTAAAACTTCCACTGTAAAGAAAGGTTCTAGAGTATTACCCATTGGTAAACACTGAGTCCAACAGCTTCCACCCACCCCACAAGCATCCATGAAGTAAATTCAACACACCCAGTGATGTCATCACTGCCCTCCAGGGGGATTCACAAACAGGCAATCAGAGCATGGCCACCCCTGCTAAGGTCTTCACGAGGCTGACAGCCCGTGCTTGTGCCTCTCATCTAAATTCCTGGCTTACTCTTTCCTACTTCGGACCAGCAGAGCACTGCAGAGAGAAAGCCTGAGCTTACCTGGACTAGTTCCTGCCCCAAAGACTCTAGTTCAGGTATTTGATGCAGAAACAAAATTCTGGGCCCGGGGTGGTGGCCTAGCAGCTAAGGCCCATGCCTTGAACATACCGGGATCCCATATGGGTGCCAGTTCTAATCCTGGCAGCTCCACTTCCCATCCAGCTCCCTGCTTGTGGCCTGGGAAAGCAGTCAAGGACGGCACAAAGCCTTGGGACCCGCACCCACGTAGGAGACCTGGAGGAAGTTCCAGGCTCTTGGCTTCGGATCAGCGCAGCACCAGCCATTGCTGTCACTTGGGGAGTGAATCATCGGACAGAAAATCTTCCTCTCTGTCTCTCCTCCTCTCTCTCTATCTGACTTTGCAATAAAAATAAATAAATCTTAAAAAAAAAAAAAAAGAAACACAGAGCTCTTATCTGCTGATTCATGCCCGAAAAGCTTGTAATTTGCTGGAAGCCTTACGATGGAGGTTGGGAATTCAATCCAGGTCTCTCCTAAGTGGTAGGAACCCACTTACCCGAACCTCTTTACTGCTTCCCAGGATCCACTACTAGGAAGCTGGAATCACAGCTAGAGATGGGAACAAATCCAACAGCTCTGACATGGGATATGAGTGTATCCCAGGGGTTGGGATACACTCCAGCTTTGCCCTTAAGGGAAAAGTATCTTCAGAAGAATAATCCCTCAGGACACCTCTCCAAGAGTAGAGAACTGACGTGGGAATTTGGGGGTACTGGCAAGCCATACTGGAGTGCCTGGTCCAAGTCTTAGCTCTGCTCCATGCCAGCTTTGATTAAAGCACCTTGACAGGCAATAGTGACAGGATAAGTGGTCAGGTCCCTGCCACCCACATCGCAGTCACAACTGAACTCCTGGATTCTGGCCAATCCCCAGCTGCTGCAGCAACCTGAGTGACCCAGTGGATGATACGCTCTGTTTCTCAAATCAATAAAAAATTTAAAATAAGTCAACAAAAAATAGAAGGCAAGATGACTCTAGGGTAGAGTCACATTATGCTATTTTAATAAACCTGCAGGGCTGGTCTCACTTCACTTCCTGGGTACACTGTAGTCTCACCAGTGAAGGCACTGCCCCTTCTGCTGTTGAGCCAACGCTACGCCACAGCCGCACAGGAATCTACTAACCCATCACCCTAATTCCTAACAGCAGACACCCACCTTTAGTCTTGCTTCAATAATCTTGGTTAAGGTGAGACAGTCTCCATGAAAACCACTGCATCCAAGGACTGTTTTATCTGTTCTGTACAAAGCACAGATCAGGAAAGTGAGATGATTGCAGTATAAAGTAACACATATCTGTCTAGGGTTACTTTAAATCTACTTCCATGACTCATAAATAGTAAAAAAGTATCATAGATAGTATCACTACCTCACTTTTCAAAGACTTAAAACCCAATCTTGGAAAGTAATTGAAAAAAAAAAAGTTTCAACAGACAAAGTCATGGTAAAAACACAAGTCACCACAAACATAAGTCTTAAAAACCTAAATGAGAGAAATTCACTAATAAGACCAGCTAATAATGCTGCTTTGCTGGCACAATTGTAGAAAAGTGGGACTTTGGGGGTAAAGCTGCCACCTGCAGCACTGGTGTTCTATATGGGAGCTGGTTAAGAGTTTGGCCTACTCCATTTCTGATTATACTGCCTGCAAATGTAGGGAAGGCAGTAGAGGATGGTCCAAGTCCTTAGCTCCTGTTTCTACAGGAGACCAAGCAGCTCCTGCCTCCAGGCTTCACTGGCCCAGCAACAGATGTCCCAGCCATTTGAGGAATGAATCAGTGGATGGAAGATCTTGCTCTGTATCATTTTGTTTCAAGTTAATAAAAAGGAAAGAAAACTGGGAAGCTCAGATACACGGAAACAGAGTAACTAGATCGAACTTTCTGAAATGCTCACCACTTTTACTTGATAATTTACCCCATCAAATAATCACACCACTGTGAAGATGTATTCTTGGCTCACCAGTGGACAGCCCTCACACAATGACATCAACAACCTACCACTACAATGAGCCTTCTTAGGTAACTTAACACACCCGTTCTGTCAGCACGTTGGCGCTCACCGTCACTGTGCTATCACCACTGCAATGAGCTTTCTCCTGCCTCACCCGGGCCTGCTGTTTTGATTTTGGACTACTTACCCCCAAAACTATGAAAGAATGTCACAAAGTGCCATCTATGGTATTCTGTTACATCAGCACAAGTAGACTACGACAAAGAGATCAACACATGTCACCCCACACTGGGTGTTTACCATAGAATGCTTTCATTTTTGCTATATCCTCATATTTAAATTTCCTCAATGCTGCAGAAAAACATTCAGGACTCCCAAAACAACTGTTGATACCCATATATAACAAATATCTTAGGGACTGCACAATGAATTATCAGAAAACACAGATTTTCTTAAGCAGAAAATGCAAAATAAACTCCTAACAGGCAACTTAAAGATTAATGAAATGAACTATCTAGAAGCGAAATCTCTTACAGCATCACAAAGACATTGTTACAGTGCTGGTACAAAGTAGCCAGGCATTCTAGGCCTGGTTAGTGCCAAATTTTGTTAACTATAGCAGTGTAGCAGCATTGTTGCCTGTTTTATTTATTTATTTTAAACATGTGGGAAAGGTGGGGGAACACCAGGCTGGGACATGTCCCTTTGGTCCCCCGGCCAGGGGTGTTGAGCAGCCATCCTGAAGTCTGCCCTGCAGAAGTGGTCTGACTGGGAAAGTGTTGGAGTGGGACTAGCTGGGGCATGTTTCACAAGGGAAGAATGATTTCTGGAGGCTTCCATGGCCTGAGCCACTGCACTCACAGGTAGGCAAGGCAGGTTAGGACAGAGTGGTTTAGAGGGGAGGACACTGAAGGACATGTCTGGGTCAGCTCAAGGCACCTGCCCGTGTGGGAGCTCTGGGCTGGGCTAAGTGGCACTGCCTGCCTGGGCTAGGCCATAGTACCCACCCTTGAGTGCTGGAGCAAGGGGTGGGCCATGTCAGGCGGGGCAGCACTACCCACCAGAATATGAGAACCAGATCTGGCAGCAGATTCTGTAGGGAACTTGTGGGCTCGCAAAACTGCAGCACACATCCAGCACGAGCCAGATGAGATGTAGGACTCAAACCCCAGTCACAGGGAAAATCACAAGATGTGTGATCCAATCTTGCAGTGTATCTTTGCAACTGGGGCCTCCTCAGTTGCTGGTGTGTGTGCAGTGAACAGCATGATCAGATGCACATGAAAGACATAGCAGCTAGCTCGTCTAAACCAATAGAAGATGTTGAGTGCCTTGTCAGAGGATGGAAAGCAAGGTTGGGCAGTTCTCCTGGCCAAGTCCTGCAGCAAGTGTCTGGGTCTGTGGATGCACGAAGATGGACTTGGTCAGTCAACAGATGTTACAAACATTCTCTCAACTCTGGTGCAAAGAGGCTGGGGACATCTCAGAACTGTCAAAACCATTCAGGTAACAGCCTTGGAACACTCTTTCCCACATCAGCATCAAATGACTGTCCCCCTAGCCTGGCTGCTAATGTAGTCTGACAGCAAGAAGCGGCCCCCTCATGTTCTCCCTTTGTGGACACAAAGGAAAAAAAAATCAAAACATTTGTACCACCTACCCTTTCTTCCTTATTCCCGCCCTCCCCTAACCCTAACCTTCTTGGGCACGCATCCCTCTGAACTATGTAAACAATATTAAAACATAAAATGAATTAAAACACACACATACTTACAATTTATAACATTTTGGGCTGTCCCGGGTGTGAATTGAAAAACCTTCACTCAACCGAGTATCTGAGGCGACAATGGAAAAATCTTCCCCAGCAATTGCCAAGACAGTACTAAGGAAAAAGAAAAAAACTGTTACCTCTTCAGACTGGTACTCCCACCTACCCCGGAGTGTCACATAGCATACTCTGGGATCAAATCACCATGGGAAAAAGAGCAGGATTCAAGTGGAGGAGGACGTCAGGGGCAGACACAAAAACGTACCATGGCGACAAGTCATTGGAACAAAACCCAACTCCAAATGAGAGTCAAGACAGGCTGCAGAAAGTAAGGCAAAAGCCGCTGACTCAGTATTATCATTGGAGCTGGCGCTATGGTCCTTGAGGCTGAGCCACTGACTACAGGATGTGTGCTGCTCCACCTGCAATGCTGCTGGGAAAGCAGCAGATGGCACAAGGACCTGAGTCCTTGTCATGCATGTGGGCAGTATGGAGCTCTGGACCCTTTCAGGAATTAAAAGTACATGGAAAGAGGAATTAAACAATGTGTGTTTTGATGCAAAAAAAGTCTGAAACTTACCCTGATATCAGGGTCTTCCAACAATTAATAGAAAATATATTGACAAGACCACTGTGTGTGGTCTCAAAGTTTTAGTACCAAAGTAAGTTCATGAAAAAAAAAAAAAAATTCGGGCCCAGCGTGGTGGCCTAGTGGTTAAAGTCCTTGCCTTAAACACACCAGGATCCCATATGGCCGCGGGTTCTAATCTCAGAGGTGCCACTTCCCACCCAGCTCCCTGCTTCTGGCCTGGGTAAGCAGTCGAGGACGGCCCAACACCTTGGAACCACACCCACGTAGGAGACCTGAAGGAAGTTCCTGGCTCCTGGCTTCTGGCTTCGGATCAGCGTAGCACTGGCCGTTGCAGTCACTTAGGGAGTGAATCATCGGGCAAGAGAGCTTCCTCTCTGTATATCTGACTTTGCAATAAAAATAAACAAATCTTAAAAAAATTCATTTTAAAAATTATTATTGGAAAGTCAGATATACAGAGAAAAGAAGAGACAGAGAGTAAGATCTTCAGTCCACTACTTTATTCTCCAAGTGGCTGCAACCGCTGGTGCCAGGCTGATCCAAACCAGGAGCCAGGAACTTCTTCACAGTCTCCCACAGGGATGCAGGGTCCTATGGCCTTGGGTTGTCCTCAATTGCTTTCCCAATCTACAAGCATGGGAAAGCGGGCCACCAGCACATGAACTGGCGCCCATATGGGATCCTGGCAGCACGTTCAAAATTAGGATTTTAACCACTAAGCTACCGCACCGGGCCCCGAAAGTAAGTTTTTAATCTTTCCTTGAACTTTCTGAGGTATCCTCCTACAGAAAGACTGGCTTAAATTCTATTATGGTTCTGCCATGCACATTCAATGCAAGGTTGTCAATCACTACTCAGGGCCTCAATCACTTCACTGGCACAACAGATACTAGCAGCCACTCCAAACTAATGTAGTCAGGAACTGCAAAACTCTTAACCAGGGGCCTCCGGCTCTCCAGCATCTGCTGTGCAGATCAGTGTGGTGGCGCAGCAAGTGAAGTGGCTGTCTGAGATGTGCCATTTTCCCCATAAGGATTGGTTCTGATCCAGCCAACTGCTGACGCGTCTGGAAAGCAGCACAGGAGGAAGGAAGCACTTTGATCCCTGCCACAAACACAGAAGACCAGCATGGGATTCTAGGGTCAAGCCCCAGGCCATCTGGGGTGTGATTCACCTCTCTAACTCTGCCTTGGAATTAAATAAATAGCTGTGGTCACGGTGGCACATGCAAGGTGCAGTGGAGTACAAGGGCTGTGCACCCGGGCCCTGGGATAGCCGAGACTGTCCTTGCTACTTACTAGCTGTGTCACACTTGACAAATTCTCCAATTTCCAGTTGATGAGAACAGTGTTATAGGGTGACTGAAAACTATGAACGAAGCACCCACAACACTCATCCATCATTTTCATAGAGGTGTTTGCTGTAGCGCTCTGAAGTGGAAGGTGATACTCCAGCAAGCACAGGGAACCAGGTAACAAATCAAAGACTAAATTGAAGCAGCTAATTCAACAGGCTCTTTCAGGTAAACAAGCACAACCATTAAAGGCTCAAGCGAGAATGCATGTGTCAGAGCCAAGCCTCCTCAGAGCTCAGACGGAGCAGTGGACAGCATATCCAGATGCACATGGAGGAGATGGCAGTCCATCGGAACCTGCAGAGGACACCTGGTACCACAACAGAGGATGGAGGACAGAACAAATTGATCAACTACCCCAGCCACAAGTTGGCACTAAAAATCTGGGCAAACTAAGGTGGACTATGTCAATCAGTGGATTCTGCAGCAACTTCATCGTGCTTGGAATGGCAAGACTGGCAGCAATTAAGAACTGCTGAACTATCAAAACCACTTGAGCAGGACCCTCAGAGTATGCCCCATGTTGGATACCCTGGGATGGGTGGGAGGCTGGGTGGGGATTCTTCCTTTATCACCCCCTTAACCTCAGAGACAGACACAGAAAGAGAGAGAGAGAGAGAGAGAGAGAGAAAATGTGTGGGGGAAAAAAGGTTAATGTAATGCACAGGGACCCTATAGTTAAATCCCAAGCAAACACCAAAGTCAAGATTTTGGGATTTCAACAAGGAGCCATGAAAACCATTTTAACAAAAGAGGAGTGCCACTGGCAACTGAAAGACTGAGACAGCTAACAAGTGTGATGGGGTGGAAAATCTTCCAGCCAGAGGCCTGCACATAGAAAAGTTCTGTAAACATGTAGATAAAAATCAGTTGTGACAGCATCATGATATAGTTATAAGGAACATTTCTAGAGCAGATTTTGATAGCAGGAATAATTCTTGCCTTTTCCTTTGTTTACTTGAGTTATAACAATGACAGTGAACCCAGCTTGAAATATTTTTCCTGACAATGGCAGAGTTGAGGGACTTGTGAGAAGCAGAACTGCAGAAGTGGACTTGGGAACGGTCTTGCAAAGGCTTCAGCTGCGACAATCACGCAGGCCAACAGCTCTGAGTTAAAGCACATTCGAATGACCGCGATAGGAAAAGGCAGCAAACTGAGGCTCGCTCTGTGGAGCAAAGGCTGTAATGAAGCTGTGAAGAAGTGAGGCAGTGAGGTATGAGCCGTGTTCAACATCGGGACTGGCTGACTGAGCTGGGTGGCCGAGAACACCCTGCACTCTAACTTCTGGAGCAGACACCACAGCCAGTGCAGAGCGCACCGAGGGGCTGTCACCCTAAGGGGCAATTCCCTGGACTCACGAAACCTCACTCCTGACTTCCCCTAATCTGTGAAACACATACAGGAATCTCAGAGACTGAGGCACAAAGACCACACAGGGGTAGCACACCAAAGCCAAAGGCAGCCCTCACTTGGCTCCTAGCCTAGTCCGGAAGTCTGCTTTCATATTCCAATCCTAGGGCTCAGGTTAACGTCCGCCTAGCTTTCTTAAAGAACCACCCATTGGTGTTTCTGAGCATGAAGTCGACTAGTAAACTGCGGCCACTGGTTTGTTCACAGCACTGTCAAGCGGCACAAAACCGACCTGTTCACAGCCCCCATTCTTCAATGCAGTAGTATAATAAAAGTGAACACGAGCAGTTTAGGCAACCAGCCCTACCTGCTACTTGCAACGGAGATGCGTGGGACACGACGCACGGACCACCCCCAAGCCCGCCAGGGACAGTGAAAGCCGTCCTGCACCCCGCCGGCTGCCGGGTGGCTCCCAGGCTCTGCAGGCTGCGTCTCCGCCACAAACGCGGGGGACGCAGAGGGAGCGCGGCGGAAGCCAGGGCTCTTACCCTCCGTTGAAAGCGTAGGGCGAGAAGCGTAGCTGAACAGGGCCCGCGCCGGCGTGCGGCTCCAGGGGGAGGTCTCGGCCCGGGCCCGCGGACATGACTGCAGCGCTCCACATCGCGCCGGCTCCTGCTGTCTCACGACAAGATGGCGGCCGGCCGGAAGTGGGGCGGTTCGGCTTCCGGCAGCGCCGGCGGGTCGCTCTAGGCTGCGCTTGCCGCTGCCCCGGAGGTCGGCGCCCGCGAGGCTATTAACCTGGGAGTTGGAGCTCGGCCGCCGGGCCGGCGCCCTGTGCGCACGCCTTCGTGCACTGTGCAGGCTCTGCTTTCATCTCCGATGCGAGCACACTGCTGGCTGCCATGACGCAGACCACCTTTCCCTCACTGCGTGCCCGTGGGGCCGGCGCGGCGGGCCGACAAGCTACCCTGCTGCAGCCCCTCGCCCAGCTCCCCGCTTGCAGCTCCGGTGCACGGCACGCGAGCGCTGCCGAAGACGTCCCTGGCTCCTGGCTTAGGGCCGTCCCAGTACGGGCTGTTGGAGCTATTTGGGGAGTGAGTCAGCGGATGGAAGAGCTTGCTCTCCTCTCTAAACCTGCCTTTGCAATAAAAATAATAAATCAGTCTTAACAACAAAAACACTCCCCGGAAAGCCCAGGTTGCCTTGGATGCCGCGACCTCACTGAGGCCAGACCAGCTGCAGGGCGGCCTGAGACGGGAACCCTCCGTCTCCACACTGGGATAAACAAACGCCGAGCCCGGATCCGCCCGCCTGGTCCGAGGACACGTCCAGCTGGCTTGAAAATTTAAAAAAATCCCTCACTTCCCTACGTCCGGAAAGCACCAATCAGAACAGGCACCGGCCCGGAGGCCCCGCCCCGGAACTTTTTGGGAGCCCCGCCCCTCCTTTCCCGTTAGAAATCGGAAGTGGCCAGTCGCCCACACTTTCCATGGCTGCAGCTTTCGTACACGCAACCTGCTGACGCCGAGGACAGAACTGGCGGAAGTGACATTATCAGTGCGCGCCTGGGGTTCGGTGCGGAGGGAAGAGTATCTGTGGCGGGGGCCTGGGTAACCTGGTGCTTCCTCGGTTTCCGCGGTCCCGGTGACCGGCGCCGCGACCCCAGGTAACAGCTCGTTGAACTTCTCCTGTTTTCGGAGGACTCTGGCGGGGAGGAGCCGCGGATCGGGCGCGCAGGCCTCGCGAGGACGGCCGTTCCTGCGCTCGGGCCTGTACCGGCCGTCGGCCCGGGGCTGCTCGCCCGGGCGCGGGGTGCCGGGGGGGCCGCGGCGGACTCCGCGTGGACGCCCCGGCCGCGCCCGCCTGTGCTGCTTCCGCAGGCTCGGCCTTGTGAAGCTGTGCGTGACGCTTTGTGGCGTCTTGTCGGAAGCCTGAGGCTTTTAGGCGCAGCACGCCGGCCCTGCTGTGGTGGGCAGGAGCTGGTTCCGTTACCTCGGAAGTCGCGGACAGACCCCGTGGGGTGCCGCTGCCCGGACAGACCCCGTGGGGTGCCGCTGCCCGGACAGACGCCGTGGGGTGCTGCTCTCTGGACAGACCCCGTGGGGTGCCGCTGCCCGGACAGACCCCGTGGGGTGTTGCTGCACGGACAGCCCCGAACCTGCGGGCCCCCTGGGGGTGCGCGCCCCGCAGGCTCGCACGGACCGTCATTCACGATCTCCTACCACGCGGGGCTCCAAGAAGTTCGTAGAAAACATGTACACGAATCTTATGTGTGGGTTTCAGTTGTTTGGATCAGCATAAACACGTCTTTCTCCATTTTCCGTGTGTTTTCTGGAATGACATGGTAGTGCAGAGGTTACGATTCATGCCTGCTGGTTTCCCAGGAGAACTGGGTGGCATCTCTGCTGTTACACCCCTGGTTACAAACGTGGCAGTCATTAAGTAACTTTGCAGACCTTGCATGTTAGCTATGTGATGCCAAGAACTTTGGCCTCCTCATGTACACACATGCACTAACTTTTCAAGAACGGATGATGTCCTTACGTCCTTGAGAAGCTGAAATGTTTCTGTGTGCCTTTTTTGTTTTTAAGATTTACATACTTTTGGGCTCGGCGCTGTGGCGCAAGTGGTTAAAGGTCCTCGCCTTGCACGCCCTGGATCCCATATGGGCGCCGGTTCTATCCCAGCAGCCCCGCTTCCCTTCCAGCTCCCTGCCTGTGGCCCGGGAAAGCAGTCGAGGACGGCCCAAAGCTTTGGGAACCTGCACCCGCGTGGGAGACCCGGAAGAGGCTCCTGGCTTCGGATCGGCATAGTATCAGCCCGTTGCGCTCACTTGGGGAGTGAATCATCGGACGGAAGATCTTCCTCTCTGTCTCTCCTCTATGTATATCCGCCTTTCCAATGAAAAAATAATAAAAATAAATCTTTTTTTAAAAAAAGATTTACATACTTTTGAGAGGCAGAGATCTTCTATCCTCTGGTTCACTCTGCAAGTGGCCACAACAATTGGAGTTTGGCTGGTCTGGGACCAGCTTCTTTCCAGGTCTTCCACGTGGGTGCAGGGGTCCAAGGATTTTGGCCATGCTCCACTGCTTTCCCAGGTCATTAGCAGGGAACTGGATCAGAAGTGGAGCAGCTGGGACTTGAACCAGTACCGTGTGCAATGCTGGCATTGTGGACTGAGGCTCAGCTTGCTACGCAGCAGCACCAGCCCCAAGTGTGTGTCTGCTTTCCAATGATTAGTGTGTAGGATAGATGGTCTTTGTGACCCTTTGCTCTCTCAAAGTGACAATTCTTTTTCGTTCGTTCAGCAAATGTCTGAGTGCTGGCTCTGTACCAGCAAAACTTGAAGTGCACTTGGCTCTTTGAGGCCTACGAGTGCTGTAGTGCTGTTGCTTCTCACAGTCCCCCAAGCAGTGGAAGTGAGCTGCGCCCAACAAAAGGGTTTGCAATAGTCACCTGGATCTTTGGTTGGGAAGTAATTTTAGTTATGCAATATAAATAATGATTTAAGAAAAGCCAGAGACAGGTACAGTTTGCAGCTAATGTGTTCTCACGAGGTAAGATTATTGCATTTAGGAAAGTGTCTTGTTTATCATTGTGTCTGTATAGCTTCTTTCACACTGAACTACATTGGATACAAATTCAGTATTGAATTTTATGCCCCAAACATTACAGCCTTTGTAAACCTGAACTTGATCTGTGCTGCATGGGTCATTGACAGCATACCTTCTTGGGAATTAGTCTTATCTAGATGTTTTTCTCCAAAAGCTTTTAATCCTGGGTATGACTCCTTGATTGTGGGCCTTATTGGAGAGTTAAACGTGTAACACAACAGTTTGTGTATGTTGGCAGTTTTCACCCCATCACAGAAGGCATGGTCAGAGTCTGCTTGAGGACTGTGAGGTAGGAACATGAGCATTCTGAGGCTGCTGCACTGGTTTTTTCCTGTGTGTTTTGTGCATGTGAGATTGCCTGTTGGCTGTGTCCTTATGCTAGATTTCATTGTTCAGTGCAGCATCTCTGGTTCCTGATGTGTGAAGATAGGCCGGATAACCGAGGGAGCTGCTAAGAAGGCTGTGCTGGGGATGTCTAGGAAAACTGAATACTGAGACAGGCTCACAAGGCTTTGGTTTGCTAAGAAGAAAGCCGACGCGATGGATCAGAACAACAGCCTGCCCCCATATGCTCAGGGCCTGGCCTCTCCGCAGGTAAAATGCTGGGCAGGGTGGCTGGGGAGGTTGGGGAGCAGACATGTTGGTTTCCAAGGATTGCATCTTAGGGAAGGGAGGATTTTTCATGGGCTGTTGTTGGAAGTGGATTTGCAGGTGTGTTAAGCCCTCCCTACCTCCAAGTGGGAGATTCTGTTTGGCTTTGGTTAGGCTCAGTAATGTTTTGGGAAGTTTCGGAGCTAAATTTTACATTTGTCTATAGAAGATTCAAGAAATGTTTTTGATATTATAAATTACAGGTTTTTTGATTTTGGAAGTCAATCTTGTCAAATTATGTTTTAAACATTTATTTGCTTATTTTAAAGGTAGAGTTGTAAAGAGAGATCTTCCATCCACTAGTTTGTTTCCAAAATCCCCTCAACAGCTGGAGCTGGACCTGTCTGAAGCCATGAGCCAGGAGCTTCTTCAGGTCTCCTACATGAGTGCAGGGGCCCAAACACTAGGGCAGTCCTCCACTGCCTGCTCAGGCCTTTAGCAGGGAGTTAGATTGGAAGTAGAACAACTGGGACAGGAACCTGCACCCATATGGGATACCAGCACTGCAAGCCAAGGATTAGTTTATTACCTTGCTGTGCCAGCCCCCAAATTATTATTATTATTATTTAGTTTTATTTTTTCTTACATTGAAAGTTCTAAATTTAAAGTTTTAGATAACCTCCTTTGAGGTGTTACCTCTGTTTTAGGTGTATGTTTTAATGATTGTATACAACTATGTTGGCTGTATAGTCTTTAAATTACCCTAACACATGTTAGCATTTTGTAATTTCACGTGGGCCTTCTGCTTTCTGTCCCTGATATAGCTCCTGTGTGTCGGTAGGTAGTCCCTTTTCATTGTCGAGCAGTCCTGCGTTGTATGGATATGCCACTGTGGGTCTGCTCTCCATCTATTGACATTGTCCAGTTTGAGGACTATTTCAGAAAATAAGCATTGTGTACAGGGTGTTTTATTTTTCTTGGGCAGATACTTAATAAAATGTTACAAGGTCATACATAAACACCTCTCTTTGCAACTTCATTAAAAATACTTGTTTTCTAAAGTGGTTATGCCATTTTCCATTTCTACAAAGGAGTTTTAGTTCCTCTACATCCTGCCTATACTTTGGGCTGTTAGTCTTTTAACTTTTAGCTATTAAGCAGTATTTCATTGTGATTTTATTTACGTATCTACAGGATTTATTTATATGAAAGGCAGAATAACACAGAGGAAGGGAGACACACTCCCCACATGGGTGTAGCAGCTATGGCTGGGGTAGGCCAAAACCAAGAGCCTGGGACTTTGTCTGCATCTGCCCATGGGTAGCAGGGTCCTAAAGATTTACTTGAAGGCAAGGTGTCAAAGAGAAAGAGATACCCACTGGTTCACTCCCCAGATTGCAATAACAACTGGGATTAGGTTAGGAGCCAGGAACTCCATCCAGGTCTCCCATGTAGATGGCAGAGCCATCCTCTTGAGCCATCCTCTGACACCTCCCAGGTGCAGCAGCAGGAAGCTGGATTGGAAGCAGAGCAGCCAGAATCATGCAAGCTATCATCCAGGCTGGAACAGATGCGAGAATGAAATGGATGCTGTTAGTACTCCAGAACAGTTCTCAGTTGGTTGATCTCCCTGTTCTTTCTGATGCTCTGAGACCATTGTGTCCCCTGGATCTGTTTAACAGGTTCTCACATGTGCAGTGGGATTCCACATTGTAGGCTCTTGTGCTTTGTTGTATTCAAGAAGAAAGTGACATGTGTGAGAAATCCTCCCCAGTAAGGTTCCATGATGCTGTTCTACTTGGTAGGCATCTGCTTTGCACCCCCCCGCCAGTTCCTCAGACATGCAGCCTCACCCTAACCCCACATTTGCCTTGCTTCCTCAGAGTGCCATGACTCCTGGGATCCCCATCTTTAGTCCCATGATGCCATATGGCACAGGATTGACGCCACAACCGATTCAGAACACCAACAGTCTGTCTATCCTGGAGGAGCAGCAGAGGCAGCAGCAGCAGCAGCAACAGCAGCAGCAGCAGCAGCAGGCTGCAGCCGCTGTGGTTCAACAGTCAACGTCCCAGCAGGCAGCACAGGGGGCCTCAGGCCAGACCCCACAGCTCTTCCATTCACAGACTCTTACAACTGCACCTTTGCCAAGCACCACTCCCCTCTACCCCTCCCCCATGACCCCCATGACCCCTATTACTCCTGCAACACCAGCCTCGGAGAGCTCTGGGATTGTACCGCAGCTACAGTAAGTACTCCAACCCGGTTTGTGAGAACGAGCTATGTAAGGCCGGGGAAACATGGTCAAGCTTTGCCATGAACAGTACTCAGAATTCAATAAATCTATAGCAGACTTATTTTTAAGCTGATAGTTTGCATGGCTTGTGAATGGTGTTGTAAATACCCAAATGGCCCTTGCCAGAAAAGATTCCCCACCCTGCCCTCAGAGGTTCTCTTTAGAAGGATATATTTAACAGAGTGGCACTTACAGTGATTGTATGTGAAAATTTGTTTTATTTCTGCTTAAGAAAAGGAAACAAAGTTGCCCTCAGTAGCAAGTTTTCTTTTTTTAAGATTTATTTATTTGAAAGGCAGAATTATGAAGAGTGGAAGACAGGGAGGGGAGAGAGAGATCTTCATCCACTGATTCACTTCCCAAGTGGTTACTTCCCAAGTAACTAGGGTTGTGCCAGGCCAAAGCCTGGAGCCAGAAGATTGTTCTGGGTTTCCCACATGGCTGCAGTGACCCAGGCAACTGTTGCTTTCCCAGGTGCTTTAGCAGGGAGATGGATCATGAGTGGAGCAGCTAGGAATCCAACAGGTGCCCATATGGGTTGTCGCGATTATAGATGGCATCTAACATACTATGCCACAGTCATAAATTGCAACCAGTTTAGATCTAGTGTGTTTCTCTTTGGTGATTGTCTACAAAGCACCAGGTCAGCCACCAGCTCCCTGCTTGTGGCCTGAGATAACAGTGGACAGCTCAAAACCTTGTGTGGTAGACCTGGAGAAGGCTCTGGGCTCCTGGCTTCAGATTGGCTCAGCTCTAGCTGTTGTAGCCACTTGGGGAGTGAATCAGTGGGTGGGAGATCTTGCTCTCTGTCTCTCTTCCTCTCTGCATATCTGACTTTCCAACAAAAATAAATAAATCTTTAAAAACAAAAAAAAGAAATGGTCTGCTGGTCCCAGATTGCTAATGAGGATATCTGTCCTTATTTACTAAGGATTAATTAGAAGAACAAATAGTCTATTGTTTTACCCAAGATATCAAATTTGTATTTTTCTGAAGTCATTTATTTTAGGACCGGTGAGAAAGGCTGGGTATTTGGTGATTTTCCAGAGTGGGTGGTAACTGATTGATGGTAGAGTGGTGTTTCTGAGCTCAAGGGTGACAGTGGCGTTGGTCTCGGTGATAAGGACATGGCTCTGCAGGCTCAGATGCTGGCCCTGCTGCTTGGTGACCATGGGTGTCCTGGGCCAGTGGCACTACCCTGAAGCCTCAGCTTGTTTCTCTGGAATGTGGGGAGAGTAGCAGTCACATCTGTAGTGCACAGTAAGTATGGAGTGTTAGATAAGTTACATGAAATGCTCAGCATGATAAGTGATCCTTGTTAATAATAAATTTAAAATGGGGAAGACAAGTGTGAAAGTCATATGTTAAATAACGGTGTTCTCTATATATTTCTTGCAGAAATATCGTATCTACAGTGAATCTTGGTTGTAAACTTGACCTAAAGACCATTGCACTTCGTGCCCGAAATGCTGAATATAATCCCAAGGTTAGAGCTATTTTTAGTATTTAGTATTTCAAACTATGTAATAACACAGAAATTTAATTATTACAGTCCCATATCAAAAAATTTGTGTCATACTTTGATTTTTAACATTAACATAATGAGAATTTAGAATAAAATATACCTCATCTTAATCTTGGATGTTTGAGAATAGATCAACTTTTTTTGTCTTGCGCCTTGTTACTATGCTAGGGGAGACTAGGAATACTATACATTGGGGTAGGGGTCATGTGTCATTGGAGAACAGGGTAGTGTGGTCCTACTTAGGGTTTAGAAACTATGTAGGGTGGAATAACGTGTATGTGATTTCTTTCTAAATTCTCTGTGGGAAAACTGAAAAGTTGCTCCTATGAGTAAGCTAAAACTAGCCAAGAAACAAGCAGGCTGTGCCCCTATTGGCAGTGGAAGAGATGAGGTGGGCCAGAGACACCAGTCTGAACTGCATTACAGTTCCTTAAAAAAAAAGATAGTGATACAAGGAAGCTTCCTAATATTAATATCTCCCTTCCTTTGTATAACTTTTAGACATTTCATAATAAAAAGATTGGGGATGGGTAATTAAGGTTTTTAATTTTAAGATAGCAACCTGAAAATATGTCAAAGGCATTTGTGCCCACATCAGTAGAAACAAATTCTGAAAGGACTAGAAGTCTGCATCTGGAAGTAGTGGGCTGGATCAGAGCTGATACTGATGACTGCCCTGGTTGTAATGTTAGTGAGTGGACCAATAAAACAGTAAGAGAAGTGGATGAGATCCAGAACGATTGGAATTTTCCTTTTGTGTAAACTGAACTGCATCTTTATTGGTGGTAGGATCAGAGGAGAACAGCTGGATTTTTAAAGTGTATTTATTTATTGGAAAGACATACAGATACACTAATGCATGTACACACACAAGGAGAGAGAAGGGAGATCATTTATCTGTTGTTGCACTCTCCAGCCATGCCAGCAGCTCAGGCTGGGTCAGTAGAAGCCAAGAGCCAGGAACTCCATCCAGGTCTGTATAGACTACAGGGGCCCAGATATTTGGGCTGTCATCTGCTGCTCTCCCAGGTACCTCAGCAGGAAGCTGGATGGCAAGTGGAGCTGATGCTGGGTCCTGAACACTCCAGTATGATGAGTTGTGGGCATTTCACGTTGCAGGTCAACTTGCTATGCTACAATGCCTGCCCCACACTTATTTTTTAATTTTAATTTTAATTTTAATATTGAACAGATTTGTTTTGTAAATATAATTCTAAGAATACAGTGGCATTTCCTTTCTTCTTTCCTTACCCTTTTTCTCTCATCTTTATCCCTCTTCCTCCCTTTATCTGAAGACAGAAATTTTAAGCTAAACTTATAAAGGCAATCTAATTTGTCAGAGTCATCTAGATTAGAAATATTATATGATTGGGACCGGCATGATGACTCAACAGGCTAATCCTCCACCTATAAGCACTAATATACCATATGGGTACTAGTTCATCATCTCTCAGCTGCTCCATTTCCCATGAAGCACCCTGCTTGGAGCTTGGGAAAGCAGAAGAGGATGACCCAAAGCCTTGGGATCATTCCCCAGCATGGAAGACTCCAAAGAAACTTGGGGCTCCTAGCTTTGAGTCAGCTCAGCTCCAGCCATTGCAGCCATTTGGGGAATGAACCAGCAGAAGGAAAATCTGTCAGTTTGTCTCTGCCAGTCTGACTTTCCAATAAAAATAAATAATCTTTTAAAAAATACTATATGATTTTCTTCTTGCAATTAAAAAAATAAGTTAAAAATTATTTTTAATTTTTGAAAATGTTTGCTTTTTATTATGTAACCTAGTTAGTGAGGACATTAATTAAACTCGTGTGAAGACAGTTTTCTCTTAAATTATAATTTTAGCAAGAAAAAGAGTCTTTGTAGGATATAAACAGAAGGTGGAATTAAATATTTTCATTTTTTTCTGATCTTACACTTATATGTAAAACATTAATGTTTCTAAAGCTATTTCCAATTGGAAATACTTACTTCCTTGCATGTTGATATGTCATCTGATTTTTAAACTCTCCCTGGAGGTAGAAAAAACTTAATAGTTCATTTGACTAAAAATTGATGTTAATAAAGCAGAATTTACAGTTAGAAATGTCACTGATGATAAGAAGCAGACACTGCTAATGGTGTCAGAAAGGAGCTGAGCTTGCATATGGGTGTGGAAGAGCACACAGATCTTGGTGAAACCCACTCAGCAAGTCTGCTCCTGGTCCCGTAGGACAAGTCTGTGGTGACCGGATGTAGCAGGTCTGTCATGGTTGTGTTGTTCTTTGTTCTAACACGGATCAGCAGTTGGCGTGATCTCACTCATGATTCTCTCTGTTTTAGCGGTTTGCTGCTGTCATCATGAGAATAAGAGAGCCACGAACCACAGCACTGATTTTCAGTTCTGGGAAAATGGTGTGCACAGGAGCTAAGAGGTAGCCTTTCAGCATTCCTTCTCTGGTCTGGGTTATGAAAAGAAGGCGGCATGTTGGGGCTTCTTGTTTGTTAGGCTAGCATTATAACATGTTATTTCCTGGGTACTTGATTCTAATCACTTTAGACAGCTGTGATCTCACTTAAGATTGAGAATGGAGTGAGGATTGAGATTGAGTGTTGGACCTGCGTTACAGCTATTTGCCCTTACATTCTTAGGAATTTTGTGTGTTTGACATGTGTAACATCAAAACTGTTGGTAAAAGTTGCTTTATGCAATCATTCATATTACACACAAGTTCATCCCTCAGTGAATAACAGCTGATTCAACATTACAGATATTTCTGTGGCAGTATGGCAGCACCATGGCTATCACCCATCATACCTGCCTGTCCCCATGGGCACTGTTTCAGTTGTGCACGCTGGGTAATGCAGTCCTTGAGGAGTCCTACTGGCGTGGGCCTGGGAAATGCTATCATGGGCAGATGTTGGTGCTGTGGGACCCAGACTGTTCTAAACCTGCTTAACAGAGCTCATGTGCTTGGTAGAAGTGAAAAGCTAAAGGACACTTCATGATAGTAGCTCATAACGACCTAAAACTTTAAAAGATAATGAATGAAAATATACTTGGAGAGGTCAACCCATAGAGAAAGTGGACTGTTTTGCTTATTCTGAACTTTGAAATTGCTTTTGAATGAATTCAGGGCATTGGTGTGCACACCTCACTCCTGGTGCCAGTTTTTGAGAAAGTGGGACAAACATATGTCCTTGGCTTCCACTCCTCAACCCCTGGATAAAGTAGAAATGTTTGGTTTGTCTGATGCTTCTGTCTCCATAGCCATCCGTACCAAGGCACCTACACACTGAATAGTATGTCCAGTTGGCTAACTGATCAGGACAAGCAACACAATAAATTGATCCCACAAGGAGAGGGAGAGCATCGCATCTGTGCTCACTCGTAAGGTTGATTGATTGAGTTGAAAAGCAGAGTGACAGGTGGTCTTCCATCTGGTTCAGGCCTCAGATGACCACAACAGTAGGAACTGGACCAGACTGAGGATGGAAACTAGAAACGCCTCATTGTCTGCTGCCTTTCTTGGCACATCAGCAAGAAGACGGATCAGAAGCCGTGTAGCTGACCCTCTAGTAGGAGATACCAGTGTTACAAGCCCAGGATTGTGCTGGCCCCTAGATGCTTAATTCTTTTTCTTTGGTTTTGTTTTTAAAATTTATTTATTGTTATTGGAAAGTCAGATTTACAGAGAGAAAGAGACAGAATGATCTCCCACCTGATGGCTCACTCCCAAAGTGGTTGCAACAGCCGGAGCTCAACCAATCCAAAGCCAGACGCAGGAACAACTTCTGGATTGGCTTTGCTGTTGAGGGCTTTGGGCCATTCTCTACTCCTTTCCCAAGTGTCAGAATTGATTGAACAGACATCGAGTAGATGCTTAATGGAGAAATGATTTTATTAAACCACACTGCAGCCATCATCAATGGTTTTAGGATGACACACCTTGTCTAAGAACATACAAACTTTTATATGCTAAAAAGCCAGAGTGACCAAGGCCAGGATATGCAAGCTTTTGTTAACCACTATGTTGGGTAGAACTACGAGTCTCTAGGGTTGGTTTTCCTTTTTTAATTAAACTTGAAAAAAGCCAAAAGGGAAGAGCAACTTAACCAACCTGAACAAAGGGAGAGGAGATAACCTTGGAGTTCAGGGGAGGGGCTTCTTTCTAATTTACAACCAGAGGCAGACCTAAAGGGGAGAGAGCTCCAAGGTCAACCATCATACCAGGTGTTCTTGGCTCCTGATAAGCCTCTTGTCCACTGATAACTTGGCTTCACCCAGTCCCCAAGCAGGGAGTGGGACAGGAACTGGTGCCCATATGGTATCCCTGTGCATGCAAAGCAAGGTTTGAGCCACTAGGCTATATCATATTTTATTTATGGCATTATTGTATGCGTCCCTCTTTTGTTAACTAAACCGTACATTGCAAAGATAAATATTTCCCAGGAAATATCATGAGTAAAAAGGAAACCTGATAAAAAAGGATTATTGCACACATATACATTTTTTTAAGTTTTTTTTGCACTAGAATAAACTTAATTCCATTTACTTTGAACTGTTTGAGATTCCCTTGTGTGCTTTATTTTATAATAAAGTTCATCATCAGCATTTTCCTATCAAAATGAAACTTGTCAGTTTTCATAAGTAGAAATTTGAATGTTTTTGAAAAGATTTATTTTTATTTGAAAGGGGGAGTTACAGAGAGAAGAGACAGATCTTCCATCCACTGGTTCACTCCCCAAATGGTCACAATGGCTGGAGCTGGGGCCAGTCCCAAACCAGGAACCAGGAGCTCCTTCTGGATCTCCCACATAGATTCAGTGTTCCAAGGCTTTGGGTCATCCTTCGCTGCTTTCCCAAGCACATTAGCAGGGAGCTGGACTGGAAGTGAAGTAACTGGGACTCAAACCTCAGGAGGCAGCTTAATCCCCTACACCATGGTGCATGCCTTGTTTTATTTACTTGAAAGAATGACAGCGAAAGAGATTTCTGTCCACTGGTTCATGTCCCAGATGGCTATGGCAACTTGCATTGAGCCAGGTTGAAGTCTCCAGGAGTCATTCTCTACTTTTCCGGGTGCATTTGTAAGGAGCTGAATGAGAGGCAGAGCACCTGGGATTCAGCAGTGCTTTCATATGGGGTGCTGGTATTACAGGTGGCAGCTTAACTCACAAACCACAGCCCAGTCCAAAATTGCCCCTCTGTTGGATAGCAAAGAACCAGACATGGATACAATCAACAAGCAGAGTTTATTGAGCTGGCTAGCCAGGGTCAAGCTCCTCACATGGACATGCAGGACTGATGGATGAAGCAAGACCCCGAGCTAGGGACAAGCCAGATTCTTATAGACTAGTTTGACCGCTCATGACAAGACAAAACTATTCTAAGCTAAAGTGTTACAGATGTAAAGCAATATCTGTGAAATACAGACCATGGGGCTATTTTATTTTTTTACCCTTATCAGGGCCACTGACCCTTACATCCTGAGCCTGGGTGTGGGGGACAATGGGCTCTTTGCTCTTACTCTTATCAGGGCCTGCAGGGACCCACTGACCCTTACAGCCTAAGCCTGGGAGTGTGGCCCAAGTTATTTGTAGAAACTTCTCCTTTTTACGTTAAATTCAAGTTGCTTTTGACTTACTCAAACCACTTCTAATATGTAGACCTTTTAACATTTTGTTTGCCTCTAAGAGTGATAACATGATTAACACGTTTCACATCCATAATATCTAGGGCTGTTGGTAATTCGGTGAATTAAAAGAGTAATCAATCTAATATGCTACAGTTTTCTCACAAGGACCCAGGAATACTTTTATTATAAATTGCTAACATCTGTGGATCTTTGCTGCTGCTGGAAGGAAGGAGACCAGTTTACACATTACTCATTTCCTAATGTGGACTTTTTAATTTACTTGTCTAAATTTGTCAGCTGGATATAAGTAAACACTTATTTATTTATTTATTTTTCTTTCTCTAGTGAAGAACAGTCTAGACTAGCAGCAAGAAAATATGCCAGAGTTGTACAGAAACTGGGGTTTCCAGCTAAATTCTTGGACTTCAAGATTCAGAACATGGTGGGTAGCTGTGATGTGAAGTTCCCCATACGGCTGGAAGGCCTGGTGCTCACTCACCAGCAGTTCAGCAGGTGAGTGTGGTGGGGACCCATTTGTAATCTACTTAGCCAGATGCAAAATAAAAGTGAGATAGTATTGCATGTCCCCTCATGGCCTCTTCCTGCCAAAATTCCCCCTCACTGGAGTGAATGTTTCCAGGTGTTGTCTATTCTGATTTGACATGCTCCAATTAACCTTCCTAAATTTTTCCCAGCTTGAATCCTTTGCCTTAGTCAACATTGTATCAGTTCTGCTAGGGTGGTGGGAACTTGTTTCCATTTGTCTTCCTGCTGCTTGCTGGTGAATACTGGAGGCAGCTTGCCCTTCCTGCCTGGCAGCCTGTCTGCATCACACAGGTCTCTGGACCCTCGACTAACCAGGCACACTGACCAGCGTTAGTGGCCACTTGGGAAAAGCCCAATCAAGTTTCAGACACCCACTGTTACTCAGAGCAGCCACACCACAGATGGAGAGAAATCTGTTTTCGGGATATCTGAACTAGAAAAACAATGTTATGAAGTCTAGAGTAGGAACTACCCAGTGCACTATCCAATCAGACCACGATATTGGGGGAAAAGTGTCTAGTCTGTCACATGAACTACTAGCCCAAAACTGACAGCTACAGGCTATTTCCCTTTAAGGATATGGTGAAAAGGCAACTGCTCACATCCCAATAACTCGACAGGAGTGTACGTTTCCCAGAGTCTTGAGAAGATGGGAAGGCTAAATATGGACAGTGTGTCAGTGATAAAGAAATGCAGAAGGCCACAGTCACTGTGCAAATTGAGAACTAAATTATGTTGGGAATGGTGTGGCATAGTTGGTAAGAGCGCTGCCTGTGTTACCGGCATCACATATGAGCGCCAGTTCAAGTCCTGAGTGTTCAGTTTTTATTTTTTTTTTTTAAGATTTATTTTTATTATTTTTTCAGTGGAAAGGCAGATATACAGAGAAGAGAGACAGAGAGGAAGATCTTCCATCCGATGATTCACTCCCCAAGTGAGCGCAACGGGCTGATACTATGCCGATCCGAAGCCAGGAGCCTCTTCCGGGTCTCCCACGCGGGTGCAGGTTCCCAAAGCTTTGGGCCGTCCTCGACTGCTTTCCCAGGCCACAGGCAGGGAGCTGGAAGGGAAGCGGGGCTGCCGGGATTAGAACTGGCGCCCATATGGGATCCCGGGCGTGCAAGGCGAGGACCTTTAACCACTTGCGCCACCGCGCCGGGCCCGAGTGTTCAGTTTTTAATACAGCCCCTTAGTACTGCATCTGGGAGAGCAGGGAAGGTTGGTCTGACTGCTTGGGCCCTGCCAGGATGAAGCTTCTAGTTTCCTCTGTCTCTTACTCTGTGCCTCTGCCTTTCAGAGAAATACAAAAATCTAAAAAAAAAAAAAAAAAAAAATTAAGTACGTTTACCTAAACTCAGCCAGAGAGGATCTTGGTGAGAATGGGATGCTGCAGCACGCACACACAGATCTCATTCCATGTCAGGGAGGAGGTGGTAAGTGACAGGATAGGCAGCTATGTGATCAGAATACACACAGGTCTCATCCCCCGTTACACAGAGGTGGTATGTGACAGGACTGGCATCTGGCTGCTCCCAGGTACAGTTCAGTCTCACCTGCTCTAAGTGCTCTGGATGCAGTGTGCCATCATTCTGCCTGTTGGTTCAGTATCTGCCCTTGAACAGGCTGCTTTTAACCCTAAACTGTGGGAGGCTTAATTTCTAAACTCTTTTTGCCATTTTCCTTCTAGTTATGAGCCAGAGTTGTTTCCTGGTTTAATCTACAGAATGATCAAACCCAGAATCGTTCTCCTGATTTTTGTTTCTGGGAAAGTTGTATTAACAGGTAAGTTCTAGTGGGAATTATTGTCTGAAAGTTTGGTTGGGCTTAAAGGTGGGCAGTTTCTCAGAGATGAAAGAAATTTAGCAGCTTTCATTGATCAGCAATGAAAAAAAAGAAATTTTTTTCTCTTCTTACCCTTACACTCTGAGAACAGTACCCACTGCAGGAAGAAGTGAGAGCAGGGAAATGTGACCACTATACTGTCGAACCTTCAGCTCAAGTAGGATCTCCATTTACAGTGGGCAGGGGATCGAGCCAGGCACTGGGTAAGAGGTGTTCAGCAATGTTGGTGTGACACAGCAGAGAAGACTGCCAAGTGTTGACTTGAATGTTCGCTCTCACTGCTGCCCTGCCAGGACTCGGGTCATGTCAGTGAGCTGTAGAGCAGGAGGTGGAGTTGCCATGAACATTGCTTTTGTAATTGAAAACAATCATTTGGGATAAAACTTGGAGAGATAATTGATGCCATATTAATGTTTTAATAATACCTGTGTTTGTAAAACTGAGTATGGAGATAGTTGTGCTTGCAGATTTGTTTTACCTTCTTAGTATGTTAAGAAATGCCATTTCAGGCCCAGTGCAATGGCTTGGTTGGTTAATCCTCCCCCTTCAAGTGCTAGAATCCCATATGGTTGCCAGTTCGTGTCCCGCCCACTCCATTTCCCATCTCGCTTGAGGCCTGCAAAAGCAGTGGAGGATGGTCCAAAGCCTTGGGTCCCTGGACCTATGTGTGAGACCCACAAGCTCCTGGTTACTGGCTTCAGATTGGGTCAGCATGGCTGTTACCCTTTAGGGAATGAAGCAGCGGATGTAAGATCTTTCCGTGTCTCCTCTCTGTATGTAGATTTGCCTTTCTAATAAAAATAAATATAAAAAAAAAAAAGAATTGAATTTCATGTTCTAACTTCGTTTGTAGGTGCTAAAGTCAGAGCAGAAATCTACGAAGCATTTGAAAACATCTACCCTATTCTGAAAGGGTTCCGGAAGACAACGTAATGGCTCTCTGACCTCTGCCTCCCCCGCCCACATGTTCTTAACAGATGAGTTTGGTACCTTTCAATGGTGGTGGTGTGAGAAGATGGCGCCAGGTGCAGGTTGTGGCAGGGGCGGTGCTTCTCCGGGCACACCTGCCATGGTGCACTGAGGAAGAGGCACTTTGTGCACTGAACACCACGCAGCATTACTGTGAGTTGCTTGTACTGTGCTGCTACTTGGGCGGTGCCGCCCGTTTATTTATATTTAAACACTGCTGTTGACAAGTTGGTTTAAGGGACAGAACTTTTTAAGTGTTAAAGCCACCTGTACAATTGATTGGACTTTTTATTTTGTTAATTTCTCCCCCATAAACTGCAGTTTTTATATTTCTACCAGGAAAGCAAAAAAAAAAAAATCTTTTTAAAAAGTGTTGTTTTTCTAATTTGTAACTCCTAGGGGTTATTTTTGTGCCAGACACATTCCGCCTTTCCAGTATTTCAGAACAGAATGGATAGATGTATTAATAAAAACAAACAGCTGTACATATCTTTCTTCAGAGTACTCTGTACAATAAATGCAGTTTATAAAAGTGTTAGATTGTTGTTATGAACAGCACCTTGTAAAATTCATGTTATATTCTTTTTAAAAAGTTGTATTTTAGATACAATGCCTGGAACTATTTTGGTGTGTGTGTCAATGTTTCATTTATGTTGTGATAACATAACATGCAACAGCCCCCACACATTGGACACTTTCAATTTCCCACTGTAAGCAGGTTGGCTGGTTGGTACTCATACCAGACCAGGGCTTGGGTTTAACCTAAAACATTTCCATTTATTTAACTGGGTTTTCCTCATGGAAGATCAAATGGCTATGTTTAAGTTCGTGGGTTTTTCTTTCACTAAGAGCACCTTCTGAAACAGCTTTGAGTATACCCTGAGAAAGGAGGTCCTTCCTTTGTTTCTGCTGGTTTCCTCTTCCAAAGACTTGTGCAAATATTACCCTGGAAAGGTGAATATACATTATTACATTATGTACCTTTATTTCTGTTATCAGGGAGTGTGTCATAAATGCCACTTTTTGTCAGACCAGTGGTGGTCTTTTATATTCCCCTCCAGAATTTTGTGGACAAGTCCAGGAAGTTCTATAGTCAGCTTCTGCGAAGTACTGTGCTAGACTATTCCACATCTGGATAGACGAGTCAATTGCACCTGTGTCAAGTGCATTACTTCACAGCAGACATTCCTGTAGATCCTAAGCCTTACACTGTACTTGGGTGTGTAGCTTGGTCGGAAGTGATGAGCAGCCTGGCCCATGTGGGTGTGACTTGACTGATCAATTTGAAAGGTAGTTTCATAGACAGATGTTCCATCTGCTGGTTTACTCCCCAGTTGAATAACAACCACCAGGGTAGGACAGTAGTTTCTTTGGGGTTTCCTGTGTGGGCTCAGGGGCCCAGGGACTTTGGCTGTGTTCTGGTGCTTGTCCATGCACATTAGCAAGAAGCTGAATTAAATGAAAGTAGAGCTGCCAGGACTTTTATTGGTGCCCTCATGGGATGCTGGCATGTCAGACTACAGCCCAATCCACTGCACCATAGCATTAACCTGCTGGTTTCACCATTTCATGATATTTAAAAGGGATTTTGACATTCATGGGGCAACTGTGTTGTTTAATGTATTTCTTCATTTAAGTATTATTTCCATCTATTTTCAACATAAATTGAAATAAGTTGGGGCTGGTGTTTTCTTTCTGGTGATTTCAACCAGTCTCTTTGGAAATACCTGCTCCAACTGGGGAAGGCCTTGTGAGCTTTTGCCATCTCCAGAGGCAGAATGTCCACATCTGGCCATGTCCTGAAACAGCAGCTTTCACCCTAGGAAGCAGTCAGCACTACTGCACACCCCAGTGGGAGTACTTGCGGTGGGCAGCTGGAGGACTTGCACTTTTCAGCTTCTCTAAGCCACAGTCCTTTCCACCAGTGGCTCTTCACAGTTGTGCACATTTCACTAACCTCTCCCTCTTAAGAGTATCCCTACAACAAGCCTCCTTGTTTTCTGTATGCTGGTAGGTGTAACCATCTATGTACGTGCACACAGTCAGTGCCCACAAAGACCCATCTTCATGCATGATATGGAACATGTAAGCATAAAAATAGCCAAGTAGTGAGTGATAGTCAGCAATATGATATCTTAAGAGATAGTGGCAATGGCTTTAAGGGCTAACAGTTATTTCACAGGAATGTGAGAGAAAGGAAGCCAGCTGTGAACATTACCAGAATTAGCTACTAGCATTCAAGCACATGTAGTGGTGTTTGGCACTTCATGTTAATGGAAGTGAAAATTACCCAAGATGAACTGCTAGGGCTGCAAGGATAAAATCTGACTTAGTGGGCTGGTGTTGTGGCATAGTGGATGAAGCTGCTACCCACAAAGCTGGTATTCTATATGAACACTGATTTGAGCATCATCTGCCCCATTCTGGCCCAGCTCCCAGCTAATAACACTCAGAAAAGCAACAGAGAATGGCCCAAGTCCTTGGGTCCCTGCATCCATGTGAGAGATCCAGAAGATCCTGGCTTCTTTTCAGACTGACCCAGCTCTGGCCATAGTGGTCTCTGGGTGTGAACCAGGGGATGGAGATCTTTGTAAAACTGTCTTTCAAATAAATACATCTTTTGAACATTCCCTGTGTAAAGCTGACTTGGGCCCTTCTGTGCCACAACCAAGTGAAGGCAATGGGAAGCCTTGCCCTGCTTTTCAGTCCCCAGTTCCTATGCAGAGCCATGGGCAGCCCAGGCCGGTTGAGGCACGGTGCTGATGTGGAGTACCCTCCCTAACCCTGCTGCAGACAGAGGGTACCTCTTGTTGGGGCTCCGCAGCCTCACACAGGCTCAGTGTTGCAGTCAGTTGACCCATGAGTCTGCTGGGGGTTGACCTTAATATTTTTTTCTAACTGCAAATTTAGGGGAAAAAATGTCAGGAGTAGTGACTTTGTTAGGGACATAACCTGTTTTAATCATAGAAATCAATGTGCACACAAGTAAAAACAGTTCACTTAGCCTGCCATTCCAGCGGTAACCAGACATGTCTGTACCATGTGTACATATGCTTTTCACACATACAATATCATGAATGCCCAGAATGGTATATCTTGGTGTCTATTTATATCTCTATCTTATTTGGTGTCCAACAGATGTATATCACAGAAGCTCTACTGTCTTCCCTTTCAGTTATGCTGAAATTTCCATTCGCTGGTTCACACTCAAATAGCTGCAATGGCTGGAGCTGAGCCAATCCAAAGCCAGGAGCTTCTGAGTCTCCCATAGGGGTGCAGGGTCCCAAGGCTCTGGGCCATCCCCTGCTGCTCTCCCAGGCCACAAGCAGGGAGCGGGATGGGAAGTGGAGCGACCGGGACACAGACTCAGATGGGATCCTGGCAGTTGCAAGGTGAGGATTTGGTTCAGTCCTTTCCTTCAGAGGAGGCCTAGCTGGGAGCTACAGAAGATGAGCTGACACCTGTGAGGCTTTGGGGTGCCCTTAACGGGTGTCCGCGAAGTCCTGCTTCCACACAAATTCCTCAGCATAGCCACTGCCCAAACTACAGCTTTCAGCACAGGTGAAGACGGTCAGGATGCCCCAGTCGACACTGTGGCCCAGGCTGTCGGCCTTCAGGTAGTTGAGCAGTTGAGGCATGACCTGGGAAGGGGACACACAGGACAGCAGTGGGAATATGGACACTATGTAGGTAACACATTTAGCAGTGGTAAAGACAAAACTAAACCAGAAAAGCATATGTTGTTATTGTGACTCAAGAAACACCAACTACCAGTAATGAACACAAAAGGATATCTTTTGATGTATTTTTCTTTTTCATCGAAGAAATCAAGTATTATCTAACTTGTAATGCGAGGGAATTGTAAGAGCATTTGCACTCCACACAACAGAATCTGACACCTCTGGGAAGAGACATTCAGTGTATCTACCCACTGGTTTAACAAAGTATGTGGCAAATACTGTAACTAATGGAGCAGGAAAAAATGGTTAACAGCAAAGGCATTAAAGACAAGGACAGGCCCACACTGGGTGGTCTTAAGAGTTAGCACAGAAGTCAGCCAACAGGTAACAGAAAGCTGACAGACATCAAAACAGACTTCCCCAGGAAGCAAGCTAGGACAGGGTGATTTCCCACAGTAATCCCAGGCCGATGGGGCACAGCTTCACTTGTCATCATACCTGGAATTCAAGTATTCTCTTGGCACCACAAGGGCAATCTGGAATATCCTTTGCATGAGGGATATTTTCACCAGAAATCCAGATGGGGGTGATACCTCTGCCATACCTGAGAATCTAAACACCAAGAAGGATATCAACATCTCACCTGGCAACACTGCTGACCATTTGGACAAACTACATAGTCTTGCACTCACACTGTGTTCCAAAGGCATTTGAATCCCTGCATCAGATCTGCAGGGTCAGCACTACCAGTGCCTGCTCTGTCCTCAAAACCATTAACCTGGTGACTTCGAGGCTCCTCTCTGACCTGGCAGAATCTTTACCCAATGTGTCTGCTGTGAACGCGCTACTGCTTCTGCCTCCCTATACCAGGCTCCACATACAGGATGCTGCATAATGTATGCTCACCTTCCTATAACCCAAGGAACCTTCAGAGCTATTAAAAGTGACAAATGAGACTGTGTTCAGATGCAGCAGTTTAAGACACTGCCTGGGACACTGGTATCCCATATTGGAGTACCGCTTCAGTCCCAGCTCCCTGCTAATGCACCTAGGAAAGCAGACGACCCCAGGACTTGGACTCATGTCTCCCATATGGAAGATCTGGATGGAATTTCATGCTCTTCAGCCCAGTCCTGGCCACCAGGAAAGAGTAGATCAAGGAACTTTGTTTTTTGCTTTCTCCTCTGTCACTCTGCCTTTAAATAATCTTTTAAAAAGACGAAACCTGAAAAACCAAACCTGGGTACTTATCTGACTCCGTGAGTGGTTTGTAAGAATTTAGCTGAGCTATCTTTAGTGATCTATATTGACAATGAGAGTAGGTAATGGGAGTAATGTCTAAATGTGACATGTTGGTAACTCCTCCCCCCACCATGACACGTAACTCATGCAACATCTCATTCATCTTCCTGCACGCTTTCTGTAAGAAAAAAAATCCTATACAACAAACATCATCTCCATTTCCGACAGCTAGGAAGCAGACTGAACAGAGGGAAGCGTTCCTGCAAGCTCAAAGAAACAGTCTGCTTTGATAGATGCTCCTGAGGAAGAGTTCAGTCACTCTTCCAGGTTAAACTCTTAAGTCAAGGCCTGAAAAGCATACACAAGGATGGGCAGTTCCTATTTTACCTGTTCTGGTTCAACAGCTATCTGAGTTTTAAACTTCTGGAAAATTTTATCTTCCTCAGATTCATGCTTTGCCATGGAATCCAGTTCTTCTTCAAGTGCTTCACCTAAAAAATCAATACAACACTTAGTAGTCAGGTCCTCCATGCCATGCTGACTCCATGCAGCTCCCCAGCACCATGCCGTTTACCAAGTTTCAAAATCAGCACTTTGTGGTCTAGTATCTCACAAATATGAATTTTGTATCCTTTTGAACCCTTATGGGGAACAAATCAGATGTGTCTCCATCAGTGCTGTCCAGCTGTCCGTTCTTGCCAAAGGAGCTCCACTGCTCAGAGTCCTAAGGTGACCTTAGGTGACCTTAGTGGCTGCTCTGGTGGGGCCATGTTCCCACACAATCCTTTTTTTTTTTTTTTAGATTTATTTTATTTTTTATTGCAAAGTCAGATATATAGAGAGGAAGATCTTCCGTCCGATGATTCACTCCCCAAGTGAACGCAACGGGTGGTGCTGCGCCAATCTGAAGCCAGGAGCCTAGAACTTCCTCCAGGTCTCCCACACAGGTGCAGGTCCCAAGGCTTTGGGCCATCCTTGACTGCTTTCCCAGGCCACAAGCAGGGAGCTGGATGGGAAGTAGAGCTGCTGGAATTAGTACCAGTGCCCATATGGGATCCCGGCGTGGTCAAGGTGAGAACTTTAACCACTAGGCCACCACACCAGGCCCTGTTACATGATCTAAACGCTCCCTACCCCACTTCTATAACCAACCAGCTCTCCAAAGAACTTGGAGTTCCCTTTTGAGACAACAGCATTTAGTCACCAGAATACCCACTGGTACTGAGATTCACAAACAGGTCTAATAGGTTCATTCTGATACACACAACAAGGTTTCTATAGAATCTTACACATCCCCAGTACACAGACATCTCAAAGTATCCTTAGCAACACTGCCAGAAACACACTGGAAACACTGCTATGTCCTTGGCTTTCATTCTTAAAGTACATTTCACTGGTATGGTACTTTATTGTATTCTGGAGTCACATAGAATACTTGTGTGTGTGGCTGTGACTAACTGTATGGTTTCATTTATTGACTATCATTTTACTTTGTAATAAAATTTTACTTTGTAATAAAAACGTCCCACAGTTATAATACTCAGGTAACTAGCCCTCAGAGTTGGCCTCCCTCCTCACCCTGTCAGCCTGCACTGCTCCCCCTTTCCTGCAGGTAAGCATTTTATGAACTGTCCTTTCTGAAAACACAGTATCAACGTGCATATACAACAGACACATGTGGCCCCTGCAGGCAGTGTGCACTGACCTCAGGAGTCCCAGAGTACCTGGGCTCTGATTAGTCACGCGTGCTAACTTCCCTAGACACCCAATGGACTCCTCCACCTGCCCAACCAGGTGCTGCTGCTTCCCATCAAATCCCATTATCAAATCCAAAGAGGCTCACCAATTAAGACTCAACTATGGACGTTTTGGGAATGTATAAACCAGAAGTTAAAACTCTAATGTAAACTGCATAAATAAATTTGTGCTTGTTAAAAGCTAAAATTTGTGAGTGTTGTGGTGCACAACCCACATTGGAGCACCATTTCCAGTCCTGGCTGCTCCCACTTCCCATCCACCTCTGCTAATTTAACTGGAAAACAGATACTTTGCTCAAGTACTTGGGCCCCCAGCCAGCAGGTGGGAGGTACAGACCGAACTCCTGATTCCTGACTTTGACCTGGCCCAGCCCTGATTGTTGCAGGCATTTGGAGAGTGAACCAGCGGATGTAAGAGTATTCTTTCAAAAAAATCTTTTAAAACAATAACAAAAGAAGTTAACCAAAAAAAAAAAAAAAAAAAAAATCCGAAGGCTCTACAGTTGCCAAGACTTGGACTCGACAGTTTCATGATCAACGCATATGACACACAGACCTGTTTCCACACCTGCCAAATGTTACGAGGTTTCTGGGATTTTCTGGTTTTCATTTAGGACAGTGGCCTCCCTTTTGCCTGCCCATAATGGTAGCCAGGAGCTGGAAACACAATTTCTGTGTCCCATGTGTGGCAGGAACCCAGTGAATTACCTGAGCCATCACCACTGCCTCCAGGAGCCACACTGGCAGGAGACAGCCTAAGGGGCCAAATCTGAAACCCCCGCACTTCCAGTAGGCTGAATGCTGCCCAGTAGTCATGAGTGTAGAAACAGTCCTCAGTACAGAACAGGTACAGGCCAGTTCTGGCTACTGCCACGTCTCTTAGGTATTTGGTCAGCCCAGGTGCTTCCCTGGAATATGACCTTCTGATGCTGACAAACCACGTCCCTGACAGTAAGGTAAATGCTGTGCTAGATTACAACATCTCTGGCACTCTGGCACATGCCAGGAAGGCAGGGATGCAAGGGGAACGTTCACCATCAGTAACACTGAGGACTGCAGGTGATGGCCTCCACAGGGAGAGTCCCTTTCCCAGAAACTCTTCCCCTGCCATGAAGAACCCTCTCAAACACTAGTTAATTCTCTAGTGAAGTTCTGAAATTCTTACCCATGCTCTCTGTAATGTCAGAGTCATCTTCCTTTTCCACAACTTCAGGCACAAACTCATCCTCCGATTCTATGACAATTTCAAATTCTGGAAAAAGGAAGTTGTGGTCTGGAACTACATGGTCCAAATGATCTAAGATAGAGACGCGAATCCATCGTTAGTATGCTCTAAAGCTTCGCTACTCATCAAGCATGGTCCTGTGGTGACGACACGTATGACTGTCATTATTTCCCAAGCACACAACACACAAGGTGTTACCTAGGAGCAGACATGCTACATAGCATAACCCAACGCACTTGAGACGTCTGAGCCTGCTGCTGCTCTACAGAAAACTTTTAGTAAATTGAGGGAGCAAATATAAGATATTAACAGGGTCTAGTGCAGTTGGTATGTTAACTAGGAATGTTGTATGTAATTATGCTGTACTTCATATGACTGGCAGTGCAGGATTGCTCACGCCCACATCACCACAAAACCCTAAAAATGTACTGTGGCAAACATGTGGGTGCCATGTCTGAGATTACCACTACATGCATGGTCCATCAGTGACCAGATGCTATGCAGAGCAGTAAGAACACCACAGTCCACACAACAGTATTTTCCCTACAAAACTAACTAACTTCAGAGTAGGGTCACAAGCCAATGCCTGGATGAAGGCCAGGCTGACGATGCGACTGAATCACTGCCACAAGGATTCTCTCTTGGTAGCCAGTCATCAAAGCTCTGAAAAATCCATACAGCTTTTTAAATTTAATCTTAAAATTATCCTGGAAATAAAATCCCCAGGTAGTTCAGGCAGAAGAAGCACTCACCGGGCTCCGCACAAGCCTGCTTGTGTCCCATCCTCCAGTCCCGCATTTGATGTTCCCTGCTGCAGTAATATGCCTTGTGGCAGCGGGAGCACGCTTTGGGGCCTAAACACCCACACACCCTGCAGAGATGGGCACCTGACTGCAGCTGGAGACACACAGCCTCTCCTGTGCCTGGGGCAGGACCATCAGGAGGAGGCTCATAGGAGTAAAAGTCATTTTTCCTGGGTAACTGATTCCTGAAAACTAAAAGAGAAATTTTGTAAAACTTTCAGATAATACAAAATAACGCTTCAAATATTTAGGCCTCTATTTCACATCAAAGACCCTTATTTTAAAAAGAGAAAACAAAACTTGTTCTTTTGGGGAGCTTATTTCCAGGAAGGAGATTTTGAAACAAAAAAGGCAGCTTTTAACATCTAGAAGGTGGGGGTTAGGTCACCCCCATGTCAGATGGTGTCTAGGAACTCCAGCCCTGTTCCAACCAGCTCCCTGCTAAGGTACCAGCAAGGCGGGAGGTGATGCCTCCAGCACCATGTGTCCTTGTGAGGACTTTGTGGAGAGACCAGCTCTAGTCCCTACCATGTGGGGACCAGCACTAGGGAACCATGTGGGGACCAGCACTAGGGGACACTGTAGGGCCCTGTACTGGCTTCGGCTTAGCCCTCAGCTGGTCCGGACATTTGGGGCAATAAGCAGCGCAGGAGATTCGTTCTCTTCCTCTTTGCCTTTGAATAAATGAAATGTAAAATCCAGAAGCTGAATTGTATCTGGCACGTGTGACTGAGTGGGCTCACGGGCTAACCAAGTCAGCAACAAGCCTGATGGCTGTCAAATCGCAAAGTTCAAAGAGCCAGGGGCACCCACACGACCCTAACCCACAAGTCGGGGTTTGGGGCGGGGAGGACGCACCTCGCAGGCCGGCACAGCACGGCGGCTCCCGGCAGCAGAAGAGGAAGAGGGCGCGGTGGAAGGCGTCGTCGCGGTCCGGAAGCGGCGCGTACACCTGCAGCAGGAAGGCGAGCGGGCGGCCGCAGAGCGCGCAGGCCAAGGCCCCGGGCCCCGGTAGCCCCGCCGCGCCCAGCCACGCCGGCCGCCCGCCCACCTTGCTGGGGAACTGCTCGCTTCGCAGCCGCCACGCGGGCGCCTCCTCCGCAAAGCCCAGCTCCACCGGCGCGGCCTGCGGAGCAGCCATACCAGCCCGGAACCTCGGCGCCCAGGAGCGGGCTGGCGGCCGGAAGGCGGGAGGCGGGAACACGGCTGGAGGACTGGAGCCTGGTGGGAGGAGGCCTGCAGGCCGACTTCCGCTCCGTCACGGGAGGTTTGTAACATTCTTCCGGGATCGCGTGTTGGGGAAGTGGTTGCCGGAGACAGAGTGGAGACATTGGGTCTTTGAGGTCTGTTATTCACGGCAGGGAGTCCCGTTGCCACGGGTCTTAGATCGCGCGGAAGCGGGAGCCGGTCTGCCATGCAGCGGGGCCTCCTCAGGCAGCTAGCGCAGCTCCGCCGCTGCTCAGGGAGGAAAGCCAGAGGTGGCTGGCCTGACTGGGATCCTTCCCACCCGGACCCCGCCCCGGGGAGCGGCCTTGCTGTTGTAGTCACCCAGGAGGCCGTGTCCCTGTTGGTGTCCCTGGGGCTTCCTGTTGTGGCCCCGAAGGCAGCATAAGGTGGTCCTAGAGCCTGTGCCTGCACCAGGACTGGAGACCCCTTGAGCTTTGGACTGGCCCAACCCCAACAGTTGTAACCAGCTGCTGCAGTATTTTTGCTCTTGCTCAGCCATTCAGATCCATATGTCTTTTAAAACTAAATACTTCCGTTCTTCCTCACACTGAATTGATGGTGGGTGAGGCACTATGGTTATAGTCGACTAGACCACTGCCTGCAGCCTTGGCATCCATGTAGGTGCTGGTTTGTTCCCCAGGCTCTGGTTTTGATCCGGCTCCCTGCTCAAGTGCCTGGGGAAGCAGTACAGGATGACTCAAGCCTTGGTCTCCTAAACCCATGTGGGAGAACCACGTGCAGAAAGCAACTGGCCTTTTGGCTCCTGGCTTCAGATTGCCTCAGCTTGCTTCAGTTCGGCCATTTAAGGGGGTGAGCCAGCAGGTAGAAGATCTTTGTCTAGTTCTTTCTAGAACTCTGCCTTTCAAATAAAATAGAATAGATCTGAAAAAGAAATGAATTGTGCTGTTGAGAGCACAATCGTTGTCGAAAACGTTCAGTTTTGGGTATGGTAGATCGATGTGACTTACATACAATATAATAGCACCCACAGCTGGTCTGTGTCCTGGCTGTAACATGGATGTGATGTCCATAGAGTGAATAACACCCACAGATGGTCTGTATAGTGGTTCTAACAAGCTGAGTCTCTGTGGGACGGCCACAGTGTCCTGCCCTACGATGTGACCTCCCCTCCTCCATGCTCTGGGATGCTCACTTGCACCCCATGCATCAGCACTGTGGTCCCCCCCCCACCCTCAAGATGACCCAGCAGTCTGGACTGATGGTGTTTGTGTCCAGCAGGTGGCACCATCAGGTGCACAGCCTGGTGAGGCAGCGGTACCCTGCTCTATCCCTAACCCTGCCCTATCCCCCCCACCCCACCCTGCACTCTTTGCTCTTGCTGACTGTAGTCCCTGTTACAGCTCCTAGTGGCTCCCTGAAGAACCAGGACAGGGGGCAGGGTACCAGAGACAATGAGTGGTACCACCACCCCATCCCTGGGCCCTGCTCCTGCCCTGGGCTCATCTGGGTAGCTATGGACTGAGATGATCTTAACTTCTGGGAGTGTACTGATGCGGCCCATACCCCTCTCCCCAGCTGGGCTGGCACCTGGTGCACCTATAGCAGACTTGTGGATCACTGCCTGGCCCTTCCAGGATGACAACATCTCCACCAAGCACAACTGAGTCAGTGGCTGCAACCTAGCTTTCATGTGGTGCTTTCTACAACAGGAGCTCTGTGCCATGCAGCTGAAGATCAGCAAGTGGAGGGATTTGATGCCAACCTGGCACCACCACTGCCAGGGGACCCAGGGGCCTGGGCTGAGGCTTTCTGGGCCTGAACTAGGAGCATGGAAGGGGGTTCATGGCCAAGGGTTGCTGGGCTGAACTAGGAGCACAGGAAGGGGTTTGTGGCTGAAGCTTGCAGGGACTTGACTCAGGGTATGAGAAGGATCCGTGTCAATAGCCCACCACTGTGGGTAGGATGAGCCTGTAAAGCCCAAGAGGCAGGCAGTCATCAGCTATGTGTGAGGGTTAATCCAAGGCCAGCTGCCTGTCTCGGGAGGCGCGCAGGCTGTGTGACTTGAACCTCCTGGATTGCTATCTCACCTCTCGGTGCCTCTGCTCACTGGGCCTTTGCTGGGATCCTGTGCTGTCTAACAGTGACCACATGACTGACTGGCCTTTCGTTCTGGTTCAGGTCATCATGAAGGTAAAGAGTTTTATCATTTCCTCAAGGTCATCACTGAAAGGAGGCTCCTTGTTCTGGGGCAGCGGGCAGAAGGAGCACCAGGCTGGGCTACCGGAAGGCTGCGTTTGACATCAGCCACTTTGCAGAGGTGCCGGTCTGTGTCATTGCAAACCCTGAGTTCCAGAGAGTGGACACTGGTGCATTCTCACCATAGCCTCAAGAGCTGCTGCTACAGCTGGAGAAAACCATGGCTGCCACTGTAGACCTCAGTACCCTTGGAGGATGGCTACCAGGGTGAACCTTCCTGCCCGAGACTCTCCACCTGCCCCCATGGCCTGGTAAGTGCTCCTATGAAACAAGAAGAGCTTCTTCCTAGATACCTGACATGGTTCTGCCAGCCCAGGGCTGTTTTCTGAGTGTCCCAGGTGTGGGTCATCAGGGAGCATAGGGCCCTACTTGCTGTGAGGGTGCCTGGGGTTGGGAGTGTTGGGCTTAGCTTACAATTAAGCTTCCTGTTAATACACCCGGGAAGGGTGCCCCAAGTGCCATCTGGGAGTCCTCTGGCTCCTGGCTTCAGCCTGGTCCCAAGCCAGGAACCAGGAGCCAGAAGCCTCTTCTGGGTCTCCTGCACAGATGCAGGGTTCTAAGGCCACATACAGGGAACTGGATGGTAAGTGGGGCCTCCGGGATACAAGCTAAGCCGGTGCCCATATGGGATTCCAGCACATGCAAGGTGAAATCTTTAAGCACTAGGCTATCACGCCAGGTGTAACCATTTGGTATTTTCAAAAGCAAAGATTTCATACCTGCTACAGAAACAACTAATGGTAATAACAAATCACTGTGCCATGGGCCACGTTATGTGTGCATACGTGTTTGTTGTTAGCTTTGCCAACTACCCAAGAAAGAAGAACCAATCAAGTACAAACAGACCTTCATTATGAGAAATCTGTTGCTGGGCCTTACCCCTTGCGGCAGAGGAACAAACGGGAGAAGAGGACCGCAAGTGGGACAGACAAGCTGGGTAGTGGAGACAAGGTTTCATACCCCTTCTGACGTGGGTGCTGGCATTGGCCCTCCTTGGGCCCTGGTAGGGCAAGGAATGTTGGCCTTTGTCCATCATTGGCCCATATGTGGCTTGGCTGCCTTCGGGATGTGCCAGATCTCTGGCTGAGGTCACTGTGGTGTCCACCCACTTCCTGTAACTGCAGTAACCATCATGTGTGTCTTTCAAATTTGAAAGAGAGAGGGAGCATCAAAGAGAGAATGGGAAGGGGATTTGGGGAGGAGGGGAAAGGAAAACCCAAAGCCTATGGAACTAAAATAAACATGTAAATAAATAGATAAAGACATAAATAAGAATGGGATCTTTCAATTTCTGATTCACTTCTCAGATGGCTTCAATAAGCAGAGCTGGGCCAGGTAGAAGGCAGGAACCAGGAACTCCATCATGGTTTCCCACATGGGAGAAGGCCCAAGGATCTGGATCAGTCCTCATTGCCTCCTCACATATGTTAGCAGGGAGCTGGATTGGAAATGGAACAGCCAAGACTAGAACTGACACTGTGGTAAAATAGGCAGCTAGTTCAGGGTCACGAGCTTGGGAGTCATTCCCCTACCACCTAGGTGTTCCCTCTCGCCCACCTGTGACTCTGACCTGTCACCTGAGAGGGGTGGTATTGCATTGTTGTGTAACCACTCCCCTCACAAGCCGCTATAAAGGCCCACGATAGGAAGGTGCTCACCATCTTGGTCTTGTGCTTCTGTTGGTCTGGCACTCTGACTCTTGGCCTCCCCAGTACCTGTGAGGTCAGGTATGTCTGTATTCCTCATCCTCTGTTTACTGTTTGGGTGGGACAATGAAAATAGCAATGAAGTACCTCCAGGTTATTCGTTGCATGTCTCTTAAGATAACTTATATTATTGGGGAAGCTGGGACATGGGTCTTCAGCGTAATGAATGGACTTGAGGGTAATGACCATTTGTTCCTCTTGGGGTTATGATTGATTGGATTGCCATGTGGACTTGTGACTTGCTATTTCTGGTGGGCCCTGTTATCACCAACTTGGTTAATAAAGACTCCTTAATAAACTTAGACATATCTGGCATGATCTCGCTCACACCCAGCAACAGCACACTGATTTGAAATGCTGTTTGCAAAGATGATGATTTAAATGGTTATGCCAAGCCCGTCTCCATACTGTCTTTTCTGTGATGCTACTTTATTATTTATTTATTTGCAATTATGGCAGAATCCTCTGAGGTGTTTCCTTTATTTTACAAACCAAGACTTAGAAATATTTCTAGAAAACAACTGTTTTTCCCTATGTGATACACATGGTAAATAAAAGAGATTTCACACCAGCTAATTAATATATGAACTTTGATCATTCACAGAGAAACTTGAGGGGAAATATTGCTTCTGGCAGAGAAACACTTTATACTATTTTTTAATCACTTTATACTATTTTTTTATCACTTTATACTATTTCTTCTGTTTGGTACTCAGGGGACAAAGGTCAATGTTGACGATAATAAACAAAAGTAGATGACCACTTTTGTGTCCCCACAAAATGTCTCTGTTGAAGCCCTCATAGCATTTTCCTTCACTGCCGTGTGAAGGCACAGAAGGTGGCGATCTGCAAGCCAGGAAAAGGCTAGATCAGCAATATTCCCTAATGTTAGACTGTGAAAGTAAAAGAGGCCTCATTCCTTTATGAATTTACCCAGCCCTAAGTATTTCCCAGAGAAGTAGAGAGTGAGTTGAAATATATGGATATAAAATTGTATTCCAGTTTGGGTCAATTGTAAAACTGAATTAAAAACAAAGTCCTTGGGGGTTTCCCAGATCACATGTGATTTGATAATTACCTATTTTTAAAAATTAAAAGGGACTTAAATATAAGAAGTCAATATGGCAGACTGTCAGTTATGGCATGAGCCTTGGAACCTTGCATCATAACAGCAAGTTGCCTTGGCTACGGTGGAGTTCCTGGTGCTGCCTGATTTGGCTTCAAATCTCACCAGGCGCACAGGCTGTGTCGTTTTCTGTGTCGAGGATTAACGAAAAAAAAGCTGTTCTTATCAACCAGAAAGCAGCTCAAGCTTTAGAAGGTCATTCAGATCTGCGCTACACAAGGTAATCTCTTCATGTGTGGTTTGAGATCATCCAAATAGATCAGCACCCCCAGAAGGTGTTCTGACTTGCCTCCCCTAAAACATAGGAACTAATCCATGCCTTCAGTATTGGTTTCATAAAAAGCTACTGGTGTTGTTCAGAAGTAGTGCTGCCAAGACAAGACAACAGACTATGTTCTCAGAAGACATGCGGCCTGTGCTCTGGGAAAAATATGTTTCTGTGTCTCTGAAAATCCCTGCCCTATTCAAAAGAGTTTAATATTTTCTTCATTATATTTGTGTTTTCCTAGTGTAGTCACAGAGACCTCTTGGAATATGGTGGAAGTACAACCAAATTATAGAAAGAATGGTCTGGTCTTTGTACACATTTTAATGTACCCAGTATTTTATGTTCTTTAGCCCTTTTTTTGATAAATTTGAATGACAAGATGGGACTTACTTTACCGTAACTTTGCATTACATTCATTTTCATACTAACAAAACCAACCTGTAATTACTTATTTACAAGTAAATTAGTTTAAGATATTGGGAAATACAATATGACTTTTCCTAAGTGAGTCAGACACTTTTCTTAAATGACATGTCTGATACTGTTCATTTCAATGAAATGGCAGCAAATATTTGTGGAGAACTTTATAGTTTAAGAATGCTTTTGCAAAGTACACTTTGTTTTGTGATAATCTCAAAAATACACATGAGTTTTTGTTTATATTATGTATTTTATTATAAATGCCATCATTGACATTCACATGGGCATTCATAATTCTCTCAGTGATAATTCGACGTGCATTGTGTATGTAAGCTGATTTATATGCTGCTGAAGGTTGCTTCAACCACAGTCTTTTGTGGCTCTTGGGTCTACCCTCTGGGCAACTGGTCCTGGCTTTTGTGCTTTGGGCTGTGTTCTGTGTCAGCCTTACTTTCTCAGGAACAGTAGAATGTGTTTGCAGAGGATTTGTTTTATCAGCCTGTGTCTGTGTGCACTCACATGCAGTGGGCCCCCATGCCATCAACCTTTCCTGAAATACTTTCCCAAACTGTCAAGCTCAATGCGTCTTGGGCTTGCTGTAGGTTCGCCTGGGAAGTTAGGGCAACCATTGTAGCACTAGTGACTGCTTCTCTTCCTAAGTGTGTTGGATGGCAGTGGTAGGAAGAACTCCCCTCAAGTGAATACCCTACATCCCACACCCAAACCCCTGCCATCTGTGAATCAGCTAGAAAACAGAATATACTGTGAAGACATATTCCAACCCTAACAAAGATGATCCTAAATGGGCCCAACACTGTCACGTAAATGTCATTTGCATAAGTCAAGGGAACTGGCACAGAACACAGCCAGCTTCTAGGAACAGGTATCACCCCTCAGGTAACAACCAGAGAGGAGAGAAAAAGCGCTTCAACCTTAGCTTCCTGAATTCAGTCTAGAAATTTTTTTCTGAAGCAAATCTTAAGGGACATTTAAAGAAACCTATATCTTAGAAATGCTTACAGAAAATATTGCTCAACATATTTAAATCCATGTAATCCAAGGTTGTATATGTTTTGTCTGCCTCTATTTTTATTAAAAGGTTTATTTATTTGAAAGGCAGAACTAGAGATAAGGAGCAACAGGAAGAATCTTTCTCTGGCAGTTCATTGCACAAATGTGCAATGGCTGGCGGTGGGCTGGTCCAAGGCCAAAAGCCAGAAGTGTCTTCCAGGTCTGTTCTGTGGGAGCAGGAGTAAAAGTGCTTTTTTTCTCAGGTGCATGAGCAAGGAGCTGAATAAAAGGTGGAGTATCCATGACTCAAACTGGTGCCCATGTGGGGTGCTGGCGCTGAAGGCAGGAGTCTTGCCCACTACACATAATACCAGCCTTCCCAGTCTGTCGCGATCTCTCTCAAAAACACTATGTATTAATTGTGTGTTTTCTGATATTTATTCAGCTTCCTAAATAAAGTAAGAAATATGTACAATATAGGCAATAAATAAATGAATGGTTCTCTCAAAAAGTAGCATTTAGATTGTGGTCCATAACACATATTCAGCATTCAGAAAGACTGTATCACTATCGGCTCCCTTTTATTACGTTTGTTCAGGACCCTCCTTAGTCTGGCTGTGCTCAGGACACGCTTATGGTCCTCTGTGCTGTGTACTCTTGGGGAATAGATGTGAATGTCCTGTGTTTGCCCCTGGAGCAGGTAGAACCTCCTTAGGCTGGCTGTGCTCAGGACACACTTTGAAGAGTCCAATCTTAAGGTCCTCTGTGCTGTGCACCGATGGGGAATAGATGTGAACGGCCTGTGTTTGACCCTGTAGCAGATAGAACAAGAAGTCTTCACGGGAGCATAGCTTCTCCTATAATATTTCAGAAACAAACTAACACTGATTATTGCTTGACTTTCTGAAAATAAGAACAACTTTAATATTAAGCGTGTAATGTCGCCCAACTACCTGCAGATGATCAACTACATAGTGGACAGACTGGAGGAAAGGATTAACACCTCTGACAAGACGTTGCTCTTCTTGGGCGGGCCTGCAATGAAATGTATGGCCACCTTCCAGTAAGTACTAATCCAGTCTGTACGTGGATAAGCTGTGGAAGGGCATAGTTGCTTGCAGTGTCTAGGACAGAGAGAAGGTTTCTCCCAGACTACTTTGAAAGGGAAACATTGGCCCTAGTCATGTAACAAGGCGATGACTGACATTTTGACTCCAACAAGAACTCATTGAACATGTCTTAATTCTGAATCTGTATGAAAAAATAAACATTGTGGCTCTTATTCACAAATGGTATTCTTGTCTCTGGGCCAACATATTCATCCACATGTAAGTAATCTTTAGAGTAATTTAGTTAGAATCCTGCTACTTGTTACATTTGAATAGAACAGGAAGCTATAAAAGTCCTCTGTAAATTAACACCTTTTTCAGCTTGTGGAGAGTGAGGCTTCCAGCAGCTAAATGACTTTCCCAGGATCTCATAGCTTGCATCCCATGGTCATGATTCAGTGCTGACTTTCTACACCAGCTTCTCTTTAATGTACGACGCACTTCCCATCACTGTGATATTGCTGCACAGATGGAATCCTTCCAGAGACCAGAAATGAGGAAGGCAGTACTTGAGCCACTGCCTTCTGGTGTGTTTATACGTGCGCTGATAGTTGTAATGTAGTGTGGGCATTTCATGCAGTTCATTTTTTCTCCTGTTCTCTGGTTGTAGTTACTCAGGAATAAGAAGATGTGGTTATTCAGGAATAATAAAACTTTCACCAATGGTGTTTTGCCATTATATACATTTTTCATTTTTATGTTGTGATTAAAATGTAAACTTCTGAAAACGCTTTCCAACAATTGCCCTTGTAAGAATAAATGTGTTATGAGACCATTCGCTCCTAGCTGCTGACCAGCCTCCTGCTGGCTCCCACCTGAGTGCAGAGGACTCCTCTGTGCTGGTCATGCTCTGCTCTTCATGTGAAGACTGGTTATGAGTGTGCTCAGGGGACAGATGTTTGCTTTTCTGTTCTTTTATGTGCATTTCTCTGGTATGCATACTGTATTTCAGTAACAAGCTCTAAAATGGCCTTGAAGAGTGAAGTCATTCTAAAATAAAGTCCCCTAATCTCCATGCATGTTTTGTTTATCATTAAGGAAGCTCTAGATGACATTTTCATCTTTTTCTCCTTTCTAGACTATCAGCTGGAAGTCACAGTACTCTCCAGTTTTCGTATATGGAAGTCACTCTACTGAGTGCCAAGGAAACTGCTCCGCTCATAACCTGAGAGGGGCCAGGGCCTGCAACCCATGTAGGAGTATTTTATAGAGTGTGTCTGCTGCTCAAACTGCTCATCATGTGGGCCATGTTTCTAGCCCGTGTCTTCATTTCTTGCAATGTTTCCAACTCATACTTTAATCTTGATGAGTCCATCTATATGATAAGATTTGAAAATATCAGCTGCATAGGTTAATATGAAATGAGTTATTAATTACATGATCTACTTCGTGCTGTTGAATTTGATTAGGAACATCGACATATCCCAAGAGGAGGATCATGCCAGAAACATTCTCCTTCATGTCTTTGCTGTAGACATCAACAACCACGCATCAGTAAGTGAACTTCCAGTTCTACCTGGAGTTGTTGGTTGGGTTAATCATATTTCCAAGCTGGCCAGTAAAGCTTTCTTTTAGATATGTTCAGGCAAAGCAACATTGTCTGTTATTTCCACTTTCCCTAACTAATGCATGGTTTATTTTTAAACATCTTTTTACTTTCAAAGAAGTAAATCTCTGTGAAGTTTTTTACTTGTCCAAAATGAAAAGAAAGAGGATGTTGAAAAAATACATATATCCTTACAATATTCTTCCTTTTTTTGAAGATTGATTTATTTTTATTGGAAAGGCAGATATACAGAGAGGAAGATCTTGTGTTGATGGTTCTCTCCCCAAGCGGCCGCAACGGCTGGAGCTGAGCCAATCCGAAGGAAGAAGCCAGGAGCTTTTCCGGGTCTCCCACTCGGGTGCAGGGTCCCAAACCTTTGGGCCATCCTCAACTGCTTTCCCAGGCCACAAGCAGGGAGCTGGATGGGAAGCGGGGCTGCCGGGATTAGAACCAGCGCCCAAATGGGATCCCGGCAGATGCAAGGTGAGGACTTTAGCCACTATGCTATTGTGGCAGGCCCTACAATAATTTTCTATCTCCTGTTTTCTGTATGCCATGCAAACCTGCTGATTTAAAAACCAAAGAAAGTATAAAATGATTATGAACATTTTTAAAAGTTTCTTTTTAAATTTTGTAAAACAATATTGGTAGAGTTTTAAAAGTCTATGTAAGGACTTTCAGACATCCATCAAAAAGGTGAGCATTTTCAATGAACCCTAAAGCCTACTGTTTGCACCTTCCAAAATATTTTATGTTAATGAACTCTTTTTATTCCTAATTTTTGAGATGCAAGTCCTATAAATGTGAAAGTCTGCTTATGTTTCTTCATATTTCTTTAAGCTTTTATTTTCTCAAACCATGCAGACCTCTTTACAGATTACTCTGATGTTATGAAACTGACAGGCACAGAACAACTTCTTAGACACTTATTCTCTATCTTTTTTGAAAACACTGCTGTGGTTCTGGCATGGTAGCTAAAGTTTTCTCCTTGCAAGCAACAGGATCCCATAAGGGTGCCAGTTAATGTTCCATCTGCTCCACTTCCCATCCAGCACCCTGTTTGTGGACTGGGAAAGCAGTAGAGAATGGGCCAAAGCCGTGGGACCCTGCACCCACATAGGAGACCTGGAAGAAGTTCCTGGCTCTTCTGCTGATTCAGATCAGCTCAGCTCCAGCCGTTGTGGCCACTTAGGGAGTGATTCAGCAGACGGATCTTCCTTCCTCTCTGTCTCTCCTCCTCTCTGTATATCTGACTTTCCAATAAAAATAAATAAATCTTTAAAAAAAGAAAAGTCGCTGCTTGCAGCTCAGCTAGGTCAGCACATACCTTCTCAAGCCTCTTCATCCCTTTCAGGTGATTTTGATGAATTTTCTCCCTATTTTTGTGGAGTTGTCTTTCTGGATGTGAAGGGCAGAGGGAACTACTTGCTTCTTCACTGGCAGCTATGGAAATGCAAGTTAAATTTTGAAGTGTTTTGTCCTGATTTCTACACTCATTGTTCCATACATTGCCACGCTGAAAATCTGAGTGTGATGCCTGACTCGGAAAAGGTTTTCTCTATGTTGTCGTTTAACAATGAGAGTGCCTGTGATGGGCAGTTATTACGATTTGACTTAAAGTGAGTGTACGTTCTGTAACTAAAGAAGCCCATATTGCAGAAATGTAGCTCAGCGAGGCAGGGAATGACGCAGCTCCGTCTGAGTCATCCCTCATGTTGGTGAGGACCAACCCTGTAGCACTGAATGCGCAGCCTTGTCAGTCATTCTCCTTCTTGCTAGAACTTATCCATGAGCACCACAACTGCTTTATTTTAAAAGACACACACTTGACTGAAGACATTTTCAGCTTTATATGACATAAAGGAATGAAAGTGAATTAAGGATCAGTGTCTTCTATGTGGTTTATTGTTAGTCAAAAAGAAACTTTACCTTTAGAATTAATAATAACTTGACATTGAATAGATCATATGATTTACAATTCAATTAAAACAACTTTGATCTTTTTTTACAGTTTCAAGTTGTGGTAGTAATCAGTCTACATGCAGTAAATGATCTTATCAAAGTATCACTATCAATACTCGGAATATGTGTAAGTTACCTGCCAGTCATCTTGGGTTTAAAAATTATTCTTAAGATTAATGTTTTCACCTAGTTATGAATACATGAAATGAATATGATTTTACTGTATTCTTCCCTATATAGGACAACTATTGTAGCTATCATCAAAAGTTGTCCCCCATATCAGAAAGATATTTAGAAACTTAAAGCAGCAGAGAATATTCATCTGTATGTGGGCATCACTCTCACATTCACATTTTAAATGTCACATGAGTGAAATTCATAGCATAAGGAACTGGAAACATAATGTTGGAGTGCAGTTCTAGAGCAATAACATCCTTGACAAGTGTAAGACCCTGAAAATATGAAAGGCATATAACAAATTCACATAGCAAGTAGCTCCTGAATTCATTGTTAAGTAGCTCGTATCCTGCGATCACATGCCGCCCTCTCCTGATTCCTTCATGCAAAGTCACACGAGCAAAGTCATTTTGACAATATGCCTCTGAACATACACTGTATTAACTCAAACAAGCATCTTCCATTTGATGACTCAAGTGTCTTCCTAAGAAATAGCAGTTTTCAAAAAAAAAAAAAAAGCTCACATTAAGCTTTTGAGAAGTAAGCAGGCATTTTAGTTACAGTGGAAAGCAATGCACAACACTTCCAGCGTAAGTGAACATAGAGGTTAGCGTAGGACTCTTCTCCGGATAGGAAAGTGTATCCCTCAGTCTTCTCCCTTTGTGTTAAACAGTGAAATAAATGAGAAATAATGTTACAAAAACTTTTTCTCAGTGGATACATGTAGTTGAAGCCAGAAGTCCCCACTTCCAGATTTATTGAGGGTGTGTGCCTCTGTATGTATGAATGCTACTTGATTCAGACTTTTCTAAAGTCTAAAAGTATAAAATGTAATCATACAAAGTATAAATGCTTATTGTTTCTCCTTAAATAGTGTGATTTAGAGCAAATTATCACCAGACCCCATCAGCTTGGACTAAGTTACTGATTACCTGTAAAATCAGCTTCATACAAGAGGAAAATATTCTGCTGATTTTCAACATTATTCAGCTTTTATTTGCAGTCAGAATAGACCCCTAAGTCATTTCTGCAAGTGAAATCAGTGTAAAATGGCAGGCCCACTTCCATAGAGGTGACGGTTGGGATGACTGTGAGGCAAAAGGGATTACATTGAATATTCCTACACTTTGTTTGTAATTTCTCCAATTCATTGTTTGTTACACAAAGTAATGTGGGTCTTAATCTCTTTGGATTTCCTGCAGACGACCCAAGGAGGTGCATGTGTGACCACTCTCTGTGATCAGGGAGTTGGTGCTGTTGCTGATGTACAAGAGAATAAAGGATTGCCTGCAGTTCAGAGGTGATGATGTGATAATTACTCTAAGCATGTCTGAAATGCACAACCAACCATTGTCTTAAAGAGCTATTATCTGCTCGGATAGAGCTTTATCTGGTAAAGAATGACCAATGTGAAATGGTTTTTTATGTGGTCGTAAAGGTGGAGGCCAGTTTCAGTATAGGTGCAAGATTGTCACTGTCATTTACCTATTTTCTCCTAGAATTGCAAATACATAGTCCTTCACCATTGACCACACATTCAAAATAGTCAATTGGTTATTGAGGAAACCTACTGGATAAAGAGATGCTACTAAATAAAATTACCCAATGCTCCATATTAACATTGCAAATAAGAAAGTTAAACACAAAAGGTCCATCTATGGTTAGGTAATTGAATTCGATGACTTTTTGCATTCATGGTTGTTCAAAATAATTGTATTAGATAAATAAGTGCTTGCAATGAAGGTTGCCAAAATTAAAATATAGTGTTGGAGTTATAACAAAACTGAGAGGTTGTGTGTTTAAGACACATTGCCCTATTTCCATTGGGTTGTAATAATGGTATTTAAATGTCTTGTTGTCTTTATCTGTATATACAGCTTCCTTATCAAATGACTTGCTTTAAGACTGAAATTTCTGTCTGTAGGCTCTCAAAACACCTTCCAAAAATCAGCTATGCTGTTTTGTGGTACCTGTTGAGGTCCCTACCCGTGATGTTTCAACACTTCTCATTTAATCCAAAGACAACTTTGAAGTCACTGTTGTGTGTTATTCCAAGCATGCTTTCTCGTCAGCAACCCACTTTCAAGATACCAACACTGGAAGAGAATCAGAAGGTAGTGGGACGCTCTATTTTGTAACCTGAGGAGCAGAATACTCTTTGGGACGTGAGATTCAGGGATATAAATTCTAATGGGCAAATTTATAGAGTAAAAATTCAATATGTAATATATAATAATACATATATATAACCATCTATGGGTGGTCTAGGCCATTTATTCAACTATGACAGTGATGGGAATGTAGATTTGTGAGCAGAGTAGCAGTGCAGTGTTTCTCCTTTCTCGTCCAGGAGACAATTCACTGATCTGACTAAACCACACAGACAAGTAGAGAATGTCACAAGCAGGAACCTGCAAGCCGAGGGGCAATTCTGGCTCTCAGCCCTGAGCTGAGGGAAATGGGAACATGGTTTCCACACTAAGATTTTCTCTGCTGAACTGTTGGTAATTGAGTCTCCTGAGGTTGTAATTGACCCTGCCTGGCTGGGATAAGCACATGCAGCTCCGCACACAGTGTGTTCTCCGCCAGCGGTGGCTCATTCAGAGAAACGCTTACCTGCCCTTTCATCTCTGCTGCTGCAATATGAAAATCAGCCCCCCCCCCCCCCCCCCAATACAGACAGAGCTCTTTCCCAAAGCCCGCCCTCCCCATTGAGATGTAAAGCTTGGAGTAAGTACAAATGTGTTGTGAGAGACTGCAGCTAAACCAATAAACTTTTTGAGCTTACTGGTTTCTTGCCAAATTTCCCACCCAGAGTCTAAGATGCTTCACAAGGTCTTATCTAGTGGATTATTTGTAAAACTTAGAGAGCAAGGTAGATATTTACTCCAAACTTCCTGTATGTTAACTGAAAATTAACTGAAGATTATCCTAGCTTTACTGATGGAATTAGTGATACAAAAATGGTATTAATAGAACTGGGTCACAAAGCGTATGAGTCTTCTGTTCAGAAGTATTTTGGTATCAGTTACAAAATATTCTCTCAAGTATAATTATTTCTCTTGCAAGTAATATTTTTCAGTCAAGTAGGAAGTTTTTCATAATTCTGATTTTTGTGTTCTTTATAATTTGAATATTTATTGATGACATAGTATAGAACTATACCAAATGAAAAAAAAAAGGCAACTCTGTTTTCCTGTGTGTCACAGATTTCTGTTATACATTGTCTGATGAAAAATTGCCTGTGGGTACGTAGAGATGACACCACTGTATTCTGGACGGAGCACCCCCAGGTGTTTCCCAGCAGCTTTGGAGCGAGCCTCAATTTCAACATCTCTGAGGAGAGTGCCATACATCTTGACAACAGCTTGGGTGAGAGTTCCTTGGACTGGGATCCCAGGGAGAACATGCCAGGGCCTCAGTGAAACGGTTCTGGTTTTAGTGAGGAACCAATGACAAAGTTTGCAAGAGGTCATAGGAGCTGCTTATCCAGTGCCCTGGGGCACAGAGGACAAGGCTGCAGGGCCCATGTCTCTTTCTGTTACAAAACCACCAAGAGGAGCTTCTCATTATCTTGGGACCAAAGAAAATGTATGACAGATTTTTTGATTTAACATAATGATTGATGAAAACTGTAACTCCATCTAAGACATCATATGATAATACTTCAAGTAAAAACATGGTTTTAGTAAATTTAATTTGACCTTCTATGTCTAAGGGTACCATGCAGATTTCTATGGAGACGTAGAATTAAAGCATCATTTGGTTTCAGTGCTAACAAATTTAAATACAGCCTTTCTTTATTATAGGCATTTTCTATATAGTGTGGAAAACTGCTTTTATGTCACTGTAAAGGCATACTTTTCACTTCATTCTTCATGAGCTTATGAATTGCTGTTAGATGTACTAAATGTGCTCTACTGTAATGCATTTGAAAGGCTCACAACGTTGCCTGTCTTGTGTATCTGCCACTTCATACTCTGCAGCATCTGAGGTAGCAGTTGTCCAGTGCCCACAGGGGCAGTTAGGGAAGGATGACCTCATGGGAAAATGAGGCACTTAGTTTGAAGTCTTATAAATTCTGCAGCACACCCAAGCCTGTACCACCATTTACCAGTCGTGTTACTTTTGGCAAGTATTCTATGTCACTGTCAGTTGTATACCACATACTTGGAAAACTGGAATGTATGCTGTTTTGGGATGATGTAGAGCAATATTTGTAAAAACAGATTTATTTAACAAAAGCATACATAGGGCTGAAAGAAGGTCTGGTGAGCCTAGAAACAAATTATTATCCAAAGGCAAGAAATTAGGTCCTAGGAGCCAACCGTCCATTTTTAGGAGTGGCTACTTCAGGACATGGATGATGAGTCCCTTCCTGGTTTTTTTTTTATTCTCACATTTTTATGATGTTAAGTTCATTGCTTTCATTGCATTGATGTTAGCTTCATTGCTTTTTTTTTAAAGGTCTCCATTCATTTAGAAGATGAGTCTGAGATCTGAGAGTATTTGCATTAAAACAACCACAAACACCTCTTTTTTTCTTTTTTAAATTTAATTTTTGATGAGGTGTACATAGTTGAGAAAGATGCATGCCCATGTGAACCACTGATTAGGGTAGCATAGGGGAAAGTGGATTAGACCATGGTTTCCAATTTTCTTTTCCTTTTTCTATATCTGGAGCAAGTGGCGAGAGAAGGGGCAAAACTGCACCGAGCCTCCTAACTGCATCAGTACCTGGGGATGGGGGACTGTTGGGGTTCAATGAATTTGAGTGAGACTCCAAGACGGGTGAAATGATTTTAATTTCTAGTCTGGGGGCAACCTCTTGCCATATGCAAGAAGTGCCTCGGCTGAAATACATGTGGGATTTTTATAGTAAGTATCAGAGAATCAAAAGCTACATGACAGCAAGTACATGATAAGGAGCTTACAATGACACAAAACAGAAAGCATGTATAGGTTTGGGGTTTCCTGATCATATCACTTCAATGTAGACAGTAATAAAACAGCATGCCTCGAAAGTAGCTGTCTTTCCGGTAAATCTAAAAACTCCAAGATTCTCCTTATCTCCTGTCTGCTTCCTGGTGTCTCAGGAAACAGGAGCTTTTTTTTTTTTTTCATAACAGGATGCAGGTGTCTCTTTGGAGATTCCAGACTTCTAGGAGTAGTCACCTTTACAATTAACCCTTTCAGGGGATGGCTACTTGATGTCACCCCAGGGTCCCCGATGTGGAACGTGGCTGCAAGGGTACTGCTCAAGTGGTTTTGATAGTTCTGAAAAGCTGTTGATTTTGTTGATACAAGGATGAGGAAATCCTTCCAAGGTTCATTTGCTGACAATCCAGTTTACAGTCTCCATTCACCTAGATACTTGCTATCAATGCTTAGCTGGGACAGTTGTCCCTTTTTCTGCCTTTCATCCTCTGCTATGGTATTAGATGTCCTCTGCAGGCCCCCGTGGTTTGCCATATCCCCTATGTGCATGTAGGCGTGCTGTCCACTGCACAGGCTTCAGCAGTTTTGGAGGCTCAGTTCTGATTCATTCATTCCATGGTCAGACCACAAATCCTACGATTCTCCCCATGGTTGGAGTTTTGAGTTCAGCGGCTCCTTTTGGGGTGTCTCCAAAGAAACCTCACCAGAGGTGAGCCCAGACCTGACTGCTGTGTGTAGTGTGGGATCCATCTCAGTTTGTCACCCACATTGCTGCGTCAGTTATGCCTCAAGCCGCATCTCTTACTCAAACCAATGGATGCTGCAGCCCAACCCATCCTGCCCATCACACACTCAGCCCTCAAGAACATCAGTGGGAATTGCAACCCAGTCATAGTGACTGCCAGTAACCCCCACTAGGCCCGCCCCGCCCTAGTTCCTGCACATCCTGGTATGTGCAGCAGACTGGTCCGATCTGTCCTGCATCCCATTTGGCTTTTCTACACACCAATAGGTGCTTCAACCTAGCTTAGCCCAACTGACTCTCCCTGTCTAGCCCACACTCATGCTGCTGCGTGCCATTGCCTGTCCAGTCGGGTCCATCCCTAGCCCTGGTTCAAATGCTCCCTGGTGGGAGCTGCAGTCCATCAGAGTGGTGCCCACAATTTTGCCTACTAGGCCCACTCCCAGCCCTGGATCTTGCACTTACCAGGTGGCTCTACAGTCTAGCTTGACAGGAGTTGCTGTCATTCCTAGCACTTCCCAGCTGATGCTGCAGCAGAGCCCAACCAGCCCACACTTATCCTGGCCCATGCCTGCACCCCTGGATGTGGTCATTTAGCCCAGCCTGGCTCTCCCTCTAACCCAGCTCACATGCAAGCCAAGGAGTGTTGTAGCCCTGCCCGGCCTGGTCGGCCTCAGGTCCCAGTTCTCATACTCACCAGAGGGAGCAGTGGCCCAGCGGGGAAGTGCACCCTAACCCCAGGTTATTGTTGAATAGATATCTTGCCCATGAACCGAACTACAGCTAACACCAGGTTACTCACACATCAGCAAATGAATCACCTGCTGATGCCATACAGCAAGGTATGCATAACTCTGAAAAATGTACCTGCAGTAAGAATTGAAGCTAAATCCCTCAAGCTCTAGGTTTAGTTCCAGTTCCTGAACACAGGGAAGAACACACAGCACACCCGAGTGCTGTGAACAGCCTTGCAGCCCTTTCTAACCATTTAAAGACACATGAAGTAATCTGGACATGGGGAAATGTGGTGCTAAGAACAGAGCTCTGCATCTAACCAATCTCACTTCTTTATCAGAACCTCACATGAAACTGACTCAAAAGCAGCAGCCGGCTAAAACATGGCTATTTCAGCATGTATTAGGAAAAAGCCACAATGAGATGGCATCAGCCGTTGCCCTGCGCACATCCCAGCAAAAACCACTTTTTGGATCTCTTTTGCAAGACGTGTGTGAGAATGATGAGCTGCCACAAGCAATTCTGGTAAGCCTCACTTTGACCGTCTACGGCTCAACATTGCTGAGAGTACTTGATGGGGTGAGTGTTCCTCATCCATGCATAAGCTCATTTAGAAATATTGAGAGCTCTCCCCGCTCTGGTGACATCTTTTTTTCTGACTCCATGTTGAATAGTAGCCTGACTTAGATATGGATGATGTGTTATGTAATATTATTTTATTTTTTACCCACAGGAGATGCTCTTCATGATTGATCAAAAGGGTCCTGCCACAAAGACCATCTTCAGTCAGTGTGCCAACTGGGAAGACTGTCAAGCCCTAAAGGAGAAGTTAAACTCTAGAGAGCAGGTCAACTGGGAAACCACATGCCCTATTTTGGTAGCAACCGTCTTGAAGGTAGGAAAATTATTGGCACCACATGCTTGTGTATCACTTTCACCAAAATTGCTCCAGGCCATTAATAGACCTATAGAATTAAGATGCTTTAAAACATGACACAAAGTGCCTATTGAGTGCAAGCGCTCTTAAGGCTATTCAGCACCGTAAATTTGAAAATGGTGTTTAGATTATAGAGGCTCTGGTCTCCTTCTTTCACCTCAGTGCTCTGTATGAAAAAGTATTATTTATAAAATAATGTCAACACATACCCTTCTCCATAAAGATATATGACCTCAAACAGTGGCTTCCATTTATGACTTTCATTTTGTTTTAAAGATTTATTTATTTTCATTGCAAGTGACCATAATGGCCAGAGCTGAGTTGATCTGAAGCCAGGAGCCAGGAGCGTCTTCCATGTTTCCCACTTGGGTGCAGGGTCCCAAGGCTTTGGGCCATCCTCTACTGCTTTCTCAGGCCAAAGCAGGGAGCTGGATGAGAAGTGGAACAGCCAGGAAGTGAACTGGCATCCATATGGGATCCTGGCACACACAAGGCAAGGATTTAGCTACTAGGCCATCAGGCTGGACCCGCTCAAAACACTTCACTCTAGGCCTGGATAATAAAATGTCAATTAATTAGGAAATTATGCTAGATTAGAAACGCTGTTTCGTCAGTACCACGTTGACTTTTTTCCCAACGAATCATCTATTTGCCCAGTGAGTACAGAATTAACATTTTTTTTTTGCTTGGGCTGTTTCTGATTCATTCATGCATTCCACCAATATCTCAAAATCATGGGATTCAGAAAAAAAGTAGAAAGAACAAGATGTTACCTCATGTGAATTTGGTCCATTATCCAAAGGGAACCACGGGAGGAGCCAGAGGTTTAGGACTTGCCCAGACATGCAGACTATTGCATGATATACACGGTGAATGTGTCCCTGCTGTGGTGGTTATGCCATACCAACAACATACCGAGTATCATTTACTAGTTGCAACAAAGATTGCAAAGAAAACCTCATAGGCAAGTATAGGAAATTTGGTAACACATGAAAGGAAATTTTTGCTTAAAAGTAAAAAAAAAAAAATTTAAAAATGTGAGAAGACTGAATTTAGGGTGAGAATTTCCTTCTAGGAGCACACAGCTGATGACAAGCAAGGCTGTGCCCTTACGTCTATGTGTGAGAATATGGGAGTCTTGTGTGATTCAGAACCATCCATACTAACAAGTAATACTGCAATGTCAAAATAAACAGGTTAAATATGGGTGCTAAAATTAAGTCAGAAATAATAGGGTAGAGGAGACATCATCAGATATTGTTACTTTGTACTAATTCCCTCAACTGTACAGGAAAGGGAAGGTCAGATAATGACACTGACTTCCAGTGTTGTTGCTACAAAAACTAGTTTTTATGCTGTGCTTTTCATCAGGGAAAAATACAACCCCTGTTTCCATAAGCTAAAAGCAGTAGACTCATAGCCAAGCTCTGTGTAGCTCATGGTTTGTTAGCTCTGAAGTACTTGATAACTAAGTTCCTTCATTGGAAAGTTTTCTTGAAGTGTAGCCAGCCAATGCACGCTTCATGAGAATAATACATTTTTTTTTTAATCTATAAAAGGATTTGCTTCAAAACATACCTGGAAGTATACTTACAGCCAACTTGTATGAAGACTTCATTGGAGTTCTGGAGGAAGGGAATGAGGAGGCCAAGATAGCCATAATTAAGAGGTAAAAATATGATATTTCCCTCATCATTATGCCACGAAAGCACAACCAAGATTCTCCTTAAATTATATTAGCCTGAAATGTCTTTCCAGCCACTCAGATCACCACCAGCGTCAATGTGTTCGTTAGTCACACTTGTGGAGAACAGTTAACAAGAAATGAAATCCTTGCCACTGTCATTCAGTTCTCGTTCTCCTTTCTCTCCTACCATTGTCCTTGTACGCCTTTGTACACCTCCTGAATGTAGGACCTTGAGACAGAAGTGAATCCATTGCTTCCTGCTAGATGCTAGAAGATAAATCAACTCACAATGTTTGTGTAACATCTGCAAAGAGTCAGTGAACCAGAGGATTCTGCAGGTGGACAGGAATTAAAGTCAATGAAGCATTTTCCTAGGCATTCGTATCAAGCTCTAGTCACTTAGGAGATGAGTAACCTTTGATCTGTTGCCATGCTGCTTTGTTCTTGTGCTAGTGACTTGCAAATAAAAGAATTTACTTTATTCAATTTCTGTTTTCACTTAGTAAGGGTTATAGTTTGTCACAGTCTGAAATGCTAGGGTGCTTCAAGTATGTTTCTGTTAATTTTGATTTGAAAACTATTTGTTCAGCTGTAGATTTTTCAAAGAAAACCACACAAACTATTTTTTTAGAAGATTTATGTATGTATTGGAAAGTTAGATATACAGAGAGGAGGAGAGACAGAGAGGAAGATCTTCCATCTGATGATTCACTCCCCAAGTGAGCGCAATGGGCCGATGCTATGCCGATCCGAAGCCAGGAGCCAGGAACTTCTTCCGGGTCTCCCACACCGGGTGCAGGGTCCCAAAGCTTTGGGCCATCCTCAACTGCTTTCCCAGGCCACAAGCAGGGAGCTGGATGGGAAGTGGAGCTGCTGGGATTAGAACCGGTGCCCATATGGGATCCTGGTGCCTTCAAGGCGAGGACTTTAGCCGCTAGGCCACGCCGCAGGGCCCCACACAAAATATTTTGAAGATATATTGGTAACTCTGGTATTTTCACTAAATTTTATCAACTGTGTAGAAATTAGAATGTTCCTATGTATGAGTAAAATTTACTGAGCTAATAATTCATATTTTAAGTGTGCCTTTTTTCTGTGTTCAGACTTTTCCAACAACTGCCAAAACCAAATGTTTGTCTCCTGCAATCCATCTTTTGCTGTATACACAAGATTTCACAAACTTCACCTTCAAAGGAGATGACAAGTTCTAACTTGGTGTGGTGTATTACCCCAAGTCTTTTATGGCCATCAGTGGCCAGCATCTCAGATAAAGGAACAGAATGGAAGAGAAAGGTGGTGTGGTGTCTCTTTTTATTCACTGTAGCATACTAAAATTTAATCCTGAAATTTAGCATGTTAGTTCTGAGAAAATTTTTGTCAAATATGCATTATGTTTTTCTCTGAGGATGCAGTTATACATCCTTTGGCAAAATTATGAATGAGAAGAGATTTCAAGGTAGGACATTGGGAGGAATGATTCATTCAGTTCCCATCACAAACTCTAACACCATATCTAACACCCTAGAGAGGAAAGAGTGACGTGTCTCATAGGTATAATGAATTTGGACCTTGGACACAACGAAATTTCAGCTTGAGTCTCACAGGGCATTTAACAAGGTTTTCTAATAGAAGTGATTTCAATAATTATAATACCAGAGGAGCTAGCTGAAGGACGGAGCAAAGCTGTCCTGGACAATATGGATACATGCTGTGATCTTCCTGGGCTAATTGTAGTTCAGAGAGATAACAGGGCGTACTTCATCCCAGCAATTGGCGTGTGAGATTCGGGAGCAACAGAATGCCAGATAAGACCCCACTCTTTCCCCAAGCAAATCCCCAAATCAAGGCTGACGTGATACATGGAAACACACAGGTTTTTAGACATTTCTGTCTCCAGTGTCCTACTTTCATGTCAAGAGATGTAGATATTCTTTGTACCCCCAAGTTGGCAACACTTTACACACAAAGCTTATTTCCCTAAGGTCTCTATTGAGTTCTTTACAAATTTTAAAATAAGAATGCACGTCTTCTCCCCAAATATCCTACAGCTATTCATCGACAATAAGAATATCTTTAAACATACTACTATTTAAATGAAAATGTTAACAACCAAATTAAGGAACAAATGATAATGCATTTGACTAAAATTGTTTAAAAACATATCCAGATACCCAGATACTGACGTTATTTCTTATGAAAATTTTAATCTTGTACTTTGTGACAACTGAATTTTCCCTAGTAAATCTTACATTTCTGTTGGATTCAAGTTTCAGATCTGCAGTGTGATTCATAAGGATGCTCAATGCTAAAATCCATCACCCCCTTTGCCCTTTCTGTTATAGGTTGCTCTTGTACAATTTGTGCTTGATCACTGCTTCAGGATTTTTGGAAACCACCTAACTGCAACCAATCAAGAGAATGCAAAACGTGGGGACAACTACCGTGGAGTTTCTGGTACCATGACTCATTTAGCTGAATTTGATGATGAACAGATGGAAATACGGTTAACATAGAAGATCTTTAATCATGCCCTTGAAGTCCAGGGCTTGTCGCAGAGACAGAAATCCTGGGCCCTGGAGGGCATATGTTTCACTTTCCTGGCAATAGGTTTCAAACTTATGTCATTGAGATAATAGAAATGTAAAGAGATACCCTTGATTCCAGAAGCATTAAGGAAGGATTATTGTATAATACAAGAAGTGGGACCTTTCCCACCTAAGTTTAAGGAATGATTGCTTTTGGACTTATTTCAAAAAGTGCCTATATGAATTGTGTTTAAAACATTCATTTACATTTTTAATCATTTGAGTAAGTGAGGGGACTGGTATCGTGGTACAGTGCGTCTAAGCTGCTGCTGTGACACCAACGTCTCAGTTCCAGCTTCAGTTCCTAGCTAATCAGGTTGCAGTCCAGCTTTCTGCTAATATATCGGCAGAAGATTATGTAGATACTTTAGCCCCTGTCTCTCATGTAGGAAGTCAAGATAGAGTTCCTGGTTCTGGATTTGCATTGGTCCCACCCTAAATATTGCAGCCACTAATGCAATGAACCTGTTGATGCAAAATATTTCAATCCGTCTCTTTCTGTCTCTGCCTTTTACATAAATAAGTAAATAATCATGAGAAAAGCCAGTGAGAAGCACACACTGGGCCGCTGATCTCATCTGCTTGTTTATCCCAAATCGACTGTCATTTGTGAAGCTGAACTAGACAAATGGCAGGGAAGAACGTGTTTGAATTATCCTGTCTACACAGCAGTAACCCAGCTCCTAAAAGCACCACTGATTTCCAGTTTATTACCATAGAAAAAAATGATTTAGGCAATCTGAAATAGGTTTAGCATCAATATATGTGACTACAAAATTCATCTTGACATTAAAACATAATACCTTTTTTATCTTTTGAAAAGCGATCTGACCCATTAGCTCACTAAATACAGTTAGCAAGAGGATACTCTGTACCTCAGCATACTAAATCCCTCCTAAGCAATGCAAAAGGCTGTGTCTGGCACTATCTAGGAATGACTCTCACAGTAAGAATTGAATCCACGTCTCTCCAAGCTCTAGAAGACAACATTCACAACACATGAATGCTTCAAACAAATCTGTAGGCCTTTCTCCACAACCACTGACTCCTGGTCTTTTCTTCCTTTCCAGAAACATGTAATAATCTAAAAACTGTGCAAATGAAGTTTAGTGAACAGACTTCCACATCCAACAATTCTCCCTCAGGTTCTCACCTGAGGCCAGCTCAAAAACAGCACTCTCTTAAAAAGTGGCTATTCCAGCGTGTCTTAAGCAGAAACCACAAGTTGACACCAGCAACTGCTCTGCACACATACCCGCAGACACCGCTATTTGGATCACTTTTGCAAGATGTATGTGAGAATGACAAGCTGCCACAGCCACTTTTGGTAAGCTCAGTTTGGTCTTCTATAGCTCAGTATTCGGAGAGCACCTGTTGAGGTGAAGTTTCCTCATCTTTGTATGTCTACAAACAGGAATAAGAGCCACTGGCTTGGGTTATAAGCTTTGTCCATATTAGTTAGTGGATTTTATTTTGTTGGGCAAGGCATTACCCTGTCAAGACATGAACACAATAAGAAATAGATTGTGTCTATGTTACTGATGTCAGCAAATACCTCATACATATTCAGAAAAACCAGAATACCCCTTGGTTGGTTCTCTGTAAGGCCACCTTGCCATTACTTTCTCCTGTTGACTTCTTGACAAGTTGAGCTCTCTGTTCAACTTTCATGTTTTCAATCCCTTTTAATGTTGGACACTCAGTCTTACAACTCAGAATATATGAATTTTATTTATCTCTCAAGTGCTATGATGTTAAAATTCACCCTCTGAAGTGTAGGCATATTACATCCTAGCAATACTGTATTCCAGTCTGTCCAATGAAACTTAGATATTTTGGTCTGTGTCAGTGATAATTTATTATTAATTTTCCAGTGGTAACATTTGCTGAGTGTCCATTGTCCCTGGAAGCTCATCTCTCAATGTAGAGAATCCAAGTGCGAATATCAAGAAACTCATCAGTTTAGATACATGGCACATCTGTGCTAACTATGGCTCTTTCACAGGCAATATGTATCTATCATCACTCACACCTCAGTAAATGAATGCCAAAAAGCCTTAGTAATTATTGTGTCTTCAGCCACCAAATAAATAACCTGATCTATGGGCATTTTCTCAGGTTATCTTATTCTGAAGCTTATTCCCATTTTTTTTTTTTTTACATTGGAAATGAAGAAAGTAGTAGAAAATTGAAAACTGGCAAGCAGGAAATGCAATCAAAGAAGGCTTGAAGAAGGTGACAGCTATTAAGAGTAGTTTAAAAAGAGAACAGCTGGAGGATAGGGGTGAGATATGTAGCCCTTCCATGGGGAACAAGAATGGGAAATTCACTTAGCAAAGGTGACGAATGGAGGCAGTGATCAGTGTTTGCTATGAAAGTACACAGAGGATGTGTTGAGGCAGAGAATTTGGATTTTAAACTTGCAGTGTCATGGGAGAGCAATGTTGTGGAAACAAGTGTTTAAGCTGTTTTATTTTGTGGAAGTGAAGTGTGTAAAGGATGCCTGGTGTTCCAAAATGTATTCAGAAATGTGAAAATGAAAATTTCAAGGTTTTAGATTGTGTTTCAGACCCAAAGCCTCACATATTTTAACTATCTGTCACAACAGTTGTACTCGGAGATTGTGGACAAGGGATGCCATGTAACATTATTGCTTTTATTTTACCCATAGAATATGCTTTCCATAATTGATCAGAAGGGTCCTGTTACAAACGCAATCTTCAGCAAATGTGCCAGCTGGGTGGACTGTCTAGCCCTAAAGGAAAAATTAAACTCTGGAGAGCATGTCGATTGGGAAACCACATGCCCTGTTTTGGTGGCAACCGTCTTGAAGGTAGGAAAATTACTAGTACCGTGTATTGGCATATCGCTTCCACCAAGGTTGTCTCAAGCCGTTAAAGACCAAATGGATTCAGATTCTGAGGAACAAGAAAGAGGACACAAACTGCACATTGAATGCAGCCACTCCAGAGGCTGTTCAGTAGCAGAGGATTGCATCTGCTTTCTTAGAATTCAGATACTTCACTCTCCTTCTTCCACCTCAGTGCACTGTATGAAAAATGCCAGCATTAATAATATTCGCCAGTATGTTTTTGACATACACATAAACTTAATTAAGCTCGCTGACACAAACCTTCATGCAGCATTTGATCAATATTGCTAGAGAAGTATACTGCTGCAAGCACACACATGCTCCAGGTGAGCCAGTAAATGCCAACAGTGGCCGTCACACGTTCCATCTGGCTCATCCTCATGCCTTCACATTCAGAATGTGTGAGTCCTTCTTTACTTGAGAATGCGCCCACACTGCCACTTTCCACCATGAGTGTATAGTAATCGCTTCCATCATCTGCCTTGACTTGCGCATCAAACTACAAAAGAAGGTGTGATTGACAATTATTTTGAGTCTAAATATTCAGTGATTTTAATGTAAAAATAAATACATTTGGAAATAAAACAGCTAAGTCACATGTTTTCAGATAGTATTGACTCACAAGAATGTGTGGCAGAAAATTGGAAGAATTGAATTTATCTATTTTGAAAATGAAGGATAACTGTGAACCAATAGATGTTTCTGAAGATCTCATTAGCTTGAGGCACATGGACTTCCTATCCTCCAATTCCATGGGTAAATAGCACCAGTTCCGAAAGATTTGTAATTGACCATACTGAATGCTCCTCAGTAATAGAATGCTGTCCTCAGAAATGTATGCTCTTGACGTCTGCTTTCTCCAGCCACTGAAGAGTCCTCTGGAGGCTTTGCATTCTGGGCCTTGATAATATCCTGTCCAATAGCTAGGGAATTGTTCTAGTCATGAAGAGAGCCAGTCCCTCAAATATAAATATCACATGTTTCTCAAATAGGTTATAGTTAATGTAGAATACAGGAAACATATATAGGAATGAAATGGGTGCTTTGTGATTTGATTTTGATTGTTTTTTAGCACTTGTTTATATTCCTGTGGAACTATATACTCTGTTTTCTTGGTTGAACATTATGATTAGTGGTGAGGCAAGGCAGAAAAAGGGACCCTCTTTAAAGTAATATTGCTTAAAATTCAGAATGAAATTCTGCTAAATGTATTTTACCAGCAATAATGCTATTTTGATAATGAATATCATTTAATATATTTCAATTTAACAATACTTCAATCGGAATCAAAACATATCACTGCATTGAAATGACTTGGTACCCTGAAGAAAATCTGTATACCAGGATCACAGTTTGTTTAAGTTGAATTGTCAATTAGAATAGCAAATATAGCTTTGGTGTGTATGTTCTATATACACTATGGTACCTCATCAGTGGTTCAGTGTCACGGGGTTCAGGAAAACAGTAAGAAGACAGGATGCAACCACACGTGAGTTTGGTCCACATTAGCCAAATGTTCCCCCAGACTGCCAGAATCTGAGAGCCGTCAGAGCTTTAAGACTCCATGTCTCAAATGTCACCTGTTAGAGAATGTAATTATGTCCATTCTCTTCCCTGCTCCATCCTTATACTCCTAAATGTATTTGCTAGTATATCTTAAATATTAAAGGAATAAAAACATTTTATTATAAATTAGAGGCATTGAAGTATTTGGGGACAATTTCTATGCCTGATTCCCACCTACCATAATTCTTATTTAACTGGCATGACTAGAATAAGTTATGGAATTATTCTGGTAAAGAACTCCATTGATTTTAGAGTTAATTTTGGTTTGAAAATTATTGATACCTTATGCTTTAAAAAATCTGGATGGCTATATTAAAGTTTACTATGCATTTGCAAGTCAAAATTGGTAATATTTATGAGTTACAGGTTAATTAAAAAATAGCATGGGCATACTCTCACTGGGTTATAATCATGGTAGTTGTCTGGATGTATTTCTTCAACATGTTAATGTTAGGAAGATTCATTCCTGGGCTCTGTGGTTGAGACTGTGCAAACCGTATTAACAGGGATATGCAAAAACTTTTCATGCTGTCACAGAGACAGGAAAAAACTTTGTGAACATTCATGGGCTCTAGTTCATGGTTCTAACATTGTTCATGAACCATAAATGAGCAATTACTTAAGACACAAGTCAAAATTCTTACTGATAGCACTGACAGTCTAGGACCTGAAATGGTGATATATCTCAATTGTGACAAGTGTGTTTTTCTGTGGGAATTGTACTGGCTCCAAAATGGTTGCATAGAAGAACTTGTTCCTAAGTATTGGAAAGTTGATAATATACAAAAGATACTTTTGCATGAAATGAAAAGAGGTGATTTTCTATAAAGACAGTAAGATTGAGACTTAAGAGTTTTTGTCTTGGAACAGACAGCTCAAGGCCAAAGGCTACGCCTTCATTTTTGTATTTAAGAACATGCATGAGTTCTAAGCGTTAAATCAGCCTGGCTGGAAATAACTAGGCACAGTGTGTGTGCTTCCTCTGATGTCAAGAAAGTAACGGCAGTAAGGAGGATGCATCGTTCCATCTTGCCGCTTTGTACTAGTTTCTTCAGTTGCACAGAAAACAAGGAGTGTCAGATGATGTGAGGAGACTTTCAGTGTCAGTGCTACACACACACACACACACACACACACACACACACACAAACTGCTTTCATGCTGCAGATTTTCATCAGAGAAAATCCAATCCCATGCTTCTGGATGGTAAAGTCAGTGGAAAGCTAACTGAGGTCTGTGTAGGTCACATATGGGCAGTTCTGAAATAGCTGGGTACGAAACTGCTGCACTGTTTTCTTAGGAGACTGAGCGATGAATGCTCTTACCATGGGAATAATACTTATGTGTGTATATGTGTTGTGTGTATTTTATCTGTACAAGGACTTACTTCAAAACATTCCTGGAAGTGTACTCACAGCCAACCTATATGAGAAATTCATTGACGTTCTGGATGAAGGGAATGAGGAGGCCAAGATAGCCATGATTCTGAGGTAAAAATGTGATCATTATTCTCTTCAGCATGTTGAGAAAATACAACCACCATTGTCTTAGAAAAAGAGCATGCTGGGTGTGATTTTATTGCTTAATCCATTTAAATCACACGAATGTGTTTATTTTGCCAGGCATAGAGGCCAGTTTAGAGAGGTAATCCTTGTTACTGTCACTCAGGTCTTATTTCTTTGTACACATCCTAACAGAGGACATTGGAAGAGGGTAAATCCTTTGTTTCAAGCTAGATTGTAGAAGATAAATGAGCTCTGAATGTTTGTGTGACATTGCTAGTGATGTAGTGAATCCAGTGAAACATTGGCTCAGCAGTCATGCCAGGCTGGTGTCATTTGCATATTGGATAACCTTTCATCTCTTGCCATGAGCATCATTCTTGTGCTAGTGACTTATAAATGAGAGAATCTCTTTATAGTCTATTTCTGTTTTCATTTAGTAGGGTTTCCAGATGGTCACAGTCTAAAATGCAAGGGTATTTCAAGTTTTCCTCTGTTAATTTACATATGAATAACATGTGCTCATTTAACACAAAATTTAGCGGATTGAGAGAAACGATTTTGAAGACATTTTGATACATCTTGCAATGTTTTCATTGTTTTTATCAGTGGTTTATAGAATGTTCCCATTAATCTGTGAGTAAAATGTACTGAGCTAACATTTTCTGTGAACAGGCTTTTGCAACAGCTGCCTAAGCCAAACGTTCATCTCCTGCAATCTCTCTTTCGCTGTTTGTGCAAGATTTCACAGAATTCACCCTCGAAGGAAATGACAAGTTCTAACTTGGCTTGGTGCATTACCCCGAGTCTTCTACAACCACCAATTGCCAGCATCTTAGATAAAGGAACAGAATGGAAGAAAAAAGTAATGATGTGTTACATTTTTTTTTCTATAGGGGGTTGTTTTTCCACCTTGATCATGACGTTAAGTTAGGGGTGAATGAGGCCCCAGGTTGGACATTGGAAGCAACGATTCACCTCATTCCCACCAAAACTCCAAATATCAGATAGAGAGAGGAAGATGATATGATATAATGAATTTGGACTTAAGATTGGACAAAGCAGGATTCCAGGCTGGGTCTCTTGTGACAATATTCTTTCCAAGGCAAAGTTGTTTCATGCAAGTGATTTCAGCAGTTACAATACCAGGGCATCTGGGTTGTCCTGAGGAATATGGACACATGATTGGGCCTTTTTCTTCTGATAATGAATCAGAGAGATGCCAGGTTCATCTCTGCAACTGGAATGTAAAGCTAATCAAAGATCTCACAGCTACCTAATGGTGCACAGCATGCCATACAGAGCCTCGGCCCTTTCCCAAGGCCGTAAAAACAGACATACATACATTATGACCACTCTGAATTTTTGTCTCTGAATTTCACTTTCTCATTAGATCCAAGTTTCACATGTGCAGTGGGATTTATAATGATGCTAGATGTAAAAGTACATCATCTCCCTTTTACCCTTTGTTTTATAGGTTGCTTTTGTACAATTTTTGCTTGATCACTGCTTCAAGATTTTTGGAGATGACTTCACCCCCACCATCAGAGATAACGTAACACATATGGACCACAATCTAGAAGCTTCAGGTACCAGGCTTGATTTCTTTTAAAAAAATATTTTTGATTTTTATTTGAAAAACAGTTATAGAGACAAGAATAAAAAGCTCTTCCATCCACTAGTACACTCCCCAAATGGCTGTAATGGCTGGAAGCGGGCTGGTCCAGAGCCAGGAGCCAGGATCTTATTCCATGTCTCCTAGATGGGTGCAGGGGCCCAAGGAGTTGAGTTGCCCCTCACCAATTTTGCAGGACATAAACAGGGAACTGGATCAGAAGTAGAGCATCCGGGACATAGTACGGATAGTAAGCCAGCAGAAAGTGAGGCAGGTGTTTCAGCATCTTCCAGACCTGATGGAGATCAAATCAAGGTGGATTTCCCTGTGCCTTGCTTTATTTGGCTAAATCTCATTGTAGTAGCCATTGGTAAATTGATTCAATAGCTGGGAGGGCCTGTAGTCCTTATTTTCTGCCTCTCTCCTCTGTCTCACTTTGCACTTCCAATACATAAGTAAGTAATCATGAAAGAAGTACAATAGTAGACAGGCACTTGGATGGAGATCTAGGCTACTGGGTCACACCTAAAATGACTGCAGTTTATGACATTGGGCTAGATGAAATCGAGGAAGTGGCTTAATCCAGGCCCTCTGCCAACATGGCAGCTCTCCAGGTCTTTGAGTCGTAACTGGTATTTCAATTCAATTTGATGGAAGATTTGAAGGAGATGGAGTATGAATGCATGTGATTAGGAAACTTACCCATGAACCTACTGATTGCAGTTATAATAAGGATGGCTGCACATTGGCATACTAAGCACCTGTTAATGCAGTGCAACAAACCGTGGCTGTTCAACTCCTGGTTTCAATACCAATTCCTGAAAGGCAGGGAGAAGAGCACATTCACTCCACCCAGGACTTTGAACTGATTTTAGTCTGTAGAGCTTTCTTCACATTGACTGATTCATTGATATTTTTTCCTGTCCATTTCCAGAAGCATGCAGTCATCCAGAAAACGTGGGAATGGGATTCCATGAGTTGAACACTACATCTAACCATCTCACTTCTTCCTCACATTCTCATCTGAAGCCTGCTCGAAAGAAACATTCCATTAAAAAGTGGTTAGCTCAGCGTGTCTTTGGCAACAAGCACAACAAGGTGGCACCAACACCTACTTTGCCCACTTCTAAACAAGCACCGCTGTTTGGGTCACCCCTGCGTGATATATGTCCCAAGGGCCAGCTGCCAAAGTCAATTTCAGTAAGTTTCAGTGTACTCTTCTATACCCTGGCATTTCTGAGCTACAGATTTATCCATGTTTGTCTCAAAAATGAAAAAGTCACTGGATGACCTCCTTCTGTGGCTAAAAAACTTTCTTCACTCTTTTCAATGCAAAATAATCTGATTTATCTATTGCCCTGTGGTAAAGGAAAATGCATAGAAATACAGAACCACAGAAACTGTGTTGCTGATTTCAGGAAAGACTCCCATACCCCCTCACACACTAATTGGATCTGAATGTCTGAGTATCAATGGGCCCACTTCATCTCGCTTTCCCCTCTTGGCTTGTGCAGAACTCTGCGAATCTCACATTTTCTTTCATGTTCTCTGCTGGACTACTTTGTCTCACAACTCAACACCCCTCAGTCTGATCTCACTTTTCTCTCAAGTGTTTCAACATAAAAATTCATCTGATGGAATATCTATCCTTCCATTCTAACAGAACCTGTCAAGGGAAAGCTACATATGTGGGTATTTAATACTGAAAAGTAGAATACTAGAATTCAGTTGTAGCATCTATGGAGTTCCCATGGTTTCTCCATTTTTACCACTTGACATGCAGAAATTTAGTCTCCATGTGTAAAAATTCCTCATGTTAGGTACTTTGTAAATATCATCATAGTCCTTGCCTCTGTCACAGTGAGAAGGTAATATAATAAGAAAAGGCTTTGGAGAAGGAGTCAGGCTTCAGATTTGTTACAAGAAAGAATTGACACTATAGAGGTGCAGGAATAAGGTATATAGTCTTCTTGTGGGGTACAAGGAGGAAATTGTTTTAGCAAAAAAAATGTCTACACTTGGAGACCATCAGGGATATTCAGAATGAATGAGCAAATGTGGTAACTGATGAGAGGTGACGCCATGGAGGACTCAGAGCAGAGAAGTTGGGTTTAAAAGTATAAATTCCCTGGAAGGGAACATGTTATAAAATCGAGCATCAGAGATATTTTATTGTGTGGATATGGAATGTAAATAGGTATGAGTAAAGGATACAAGATGTACTCAGAGATGCCAAAATGAACATTTCAAGCTTGTTTTCCTTTTATTCCTTCCAGATCTGTAACCCTGCGTAGTCTAGCTCCCTTGTTGTAATAGGGATGTGCTTGCCCTATGTTCCTGATAATATGAGATGCTACAAATTTATTTCATTTATTTTACATACAGGATATGTTTTCCTGTATTGATTCAAAGGGCCAATATACAGAGGGCATATTCAAAACACGTGTCAATGGCCAAGCCTATAGAGCCCTGAAAGAAAAACTGAATTCTAGAGAACACGTGGACTGGACAAGTGAGTCCCCCTATGTGGTGGCAACTGTTTTAAAGGTAAGAAATATTCCATTGTCATCTGGGTACAGTTTTGAAGTCAGTATGATGTGTCTCCTTCAATTGTGATTGCTCAAGAACTGCAGGGGGCCAAAATATTGATTCTGTAAAACATGTTACAAACTACAGATAGCCACTCACTTGGAAATTATCAAGTTAAAGCACAAATATGCAGGTATATTTCTGTGAGAGGAAATGGTAGAAATGAGAAAGAACTGAATTAATCCATCTTGGTACTTGACAGTAGTGTACAAATAGAGGGTGCCACCGTCGCAACCAAAAACAGGTTTTGAAGATGGCATTAGGATGAGAAACTGAATTTCTTGTCCCCATGGGTTTTTTTTTTTTTTCTGTCTGCTGGTTCACTTCCCAAGTGGTCTTTTTTTTATTATTGCATTTCATTTTATGACATCGTTTCATAGGCTCTGAGGTTCCCCCAACCCCTCCCTTTGCCCTCCCCCCGCCCCGCCCATAGTGGATTATTCCACCTTATTGCAGTGTCACAGTTCAAATCCAGTCTTGTTTCTTTCATTGCAACCATGTACCATGCATAGAGTCCAGCATCTTATTGTCCAGATGAATTCAACAGTTTCTTGGGGAGACTATCTCTGGTCTAAAGGCAGAGTTGGCAGAATCTCATTCCGACCAATTAAAAGCCGTAACATAACATCAACAACAGTTTACCACATTATGGGGTTAATTGACATGGTATTGAGTGACTGATATGTTAGAAAATGCAGGTTCTTAACCACATCCTGTGACTACTTCATTAACATTTCCATTTTAGTTTATATACAACCGGCTTCTATCCACCTTAAAATGGCTATAGGATACTATTCAGCTGTCTTGTGTCTATTTTCATTTTAGTATTTAGCAGTTTATTGTATTGAAGCATAATTTTTACTGAACTTGGCAGATTTTAGGCTAGTCCAAACTGGCTTATAGCTTTAACAGGGCATATGTCACCGGTTGAGGCACAGAACAATTTTAGGAGGGGTATGCAGTACTCTAGTTAGTAGTAACTTATTTTCGTGTCCTACCTAGTAAGGTATGTGTGAGTCCCTGCTAACCATTTCCTGAATGGTTCTAAGCTTTCCTTGTTGGTCTCTATTCTAATTTTTTGTTTGTTTGTTTTGTTTTACTTTTTTTTTTGGCACGTGGGGGGGGTGCGCTCTGGGGCGATAGTCATTGCAGGAGATGGTGGGGATCGAAAGTTGGAACTAAGCAAGGACCAGAGAAAGCTGCTCTCCCTAGTCCCGAAGGGAATTTATTGTTCTTCTGTTTCTGCAGACTGCTCAGGGCTCCTGGCTGTTGTTCCAGTGATGTTGCTCACTGCTCTATTCTCATTACTCCTAACTGCATCTTTGACAAAGCCTAATTCAATAAATGTTAGAGTGAACTGTCACAGGTTTATAATCATAATAGTTCCTTGGATACATTTACTGCTGTAAATACTGTTATAAGAATTCTATGTTGAGACAATTACAAATAACATTAACAATGACATATGACGTCTCTTTGTGCTTATACAAAGAAAAGAAAACACCCTTGTTTTCCTTTTTCAAACTTGAGTTGAATTTCATGGTATTATCAACGTACGTCACTCATATACCTGGTATTATCAGTGTGTGTCAGTCATACACCTGGTATATCGGGGTGTGTCAGTCATGCCTGTTATTAACAGTGTATGTCAGTCATATGCCTGGTATTAACAGTGTGTGTCACTCATATACTTGGTAATAACAGTGTATGTCAGTCATACACCTGATATATTAGGTGTGTCAGTCATGCCTGTTATTAACAGTGTATGTCAGTCATATACCTGGTAGTAACAGTGTCCGTCACTCATATACCTGGTATTATCGGTGTATGTCACTCATATACCTGGTAGTAACAGTGTCCGTCACTCGTATACCTGTTATAATCAGTGTGCGTCACTCATATACCTGGTATTATCGGTGTGTGTCACTCATATACCTGTTATAATCAGTGTGCATCACTCATACACCTGGTAGTATCAGTGTACGTCACTCATATACCTGGTAGTAACAGTGTCTGTCACTCATACACCTGGTATAATCAGTGTATGTCACTCATACACCTGGTATAATCAGTGTGCGTCACTCATATACCTGGTATTATCGGTGTGTGTCACTCATATACCTGTTATAATCAGTGTGCGTCACTCATACACCTGGTAGTAACAGTGTCTGTCACTCATACACCTGGTATAATCAGTGTGCGTCACTCATATACCTGGCATTATCGGTGTACATCAGTCATATATATAGGCTAATTTTCCTTAAACTACTCAGAAAGCTTAACAGCCACGATATACCAAAACATAATGATAAGAGTTGTGATATATCTCAATTAGTATTAAATTTTTTTCTCATGGGTATTGTATCTGTAGCAGCCAATGAGAATAACTAAATATATCATTTTTATAACACTTGGAAGAAACTTCTGCTTAGCAGTAGTACAGAATTATATATGAAGACAAGAATCATAAGGATATTATGAAAATTTTGTCAAAAGGGGCATGCACAACTCAAAAACTCATTCAGTTTTCATGTGTTATGTGAGTGTACACATGAGTGTGAATAGGCAGTTCCTTTGATTCCAAAGCTTGGCAGCTAAGACTTGAATTCCCAGAATCTGAAACAATGTTTCAGATAAGCACATAAGGGAAAACATATGTGCTTATTACTTGTCCAGAGAATAAATACAATAAGAATTATTCACGCCCAGATCTTGTCAGTTTGTATAAGTTTACTAAAATAAAAAGTGCCAGGTGATAGGAAGAGGTTTCACGTTCATTCTCAGCGCACTCCGGATCCCAACCGTATGACAGTACCATTGATCTGATCAAATCCATCTATGCTTCTGATTTATGAATCAAGACAGCAGTAGCTAAGTTCTCAGAATTTGGCTTACTGTGAAGAAATGGTGAAATAATAGAGTGTTTCAATTAGTTTTTCTCATTAGGTTAGCCAAATAACAATATTTTTCCATCTTTGTAAGGATTTTCTTCAAAGTATACCTGGAAGCCTGTTTACAACCAGCCTGTATGAAGAATTCATTGATGCTTTGGATGAAGGGAACAACGAGGCCAGAACTGCCACCATTTGCAGGTGATGCCTAACAACTATTCTCTTGGGCAAGTCTCAACAATGCAGCCAACATTCTTTTTAAAAAGCTTCTATGTTTTCCATTTTAAGTACTGAGCTCATGACCCAGACAAAGGACTACATTGAGAGAAATACAAGGAGTTTACAATGTGGGGGAGGCCTTGCTACTGCCGTTGAGTTCATGCTGCACCATTAACATTATGAACATGGAGGCCTTACCTGTGTACACATCCTTAATATAGGGTACTGGCAAAAGAGGAAATCCTGATTCCATGTGCATCCAGGAGGATTAGCCAGTGTTCTTTGTGTAGCATTGTCAAAGACTGCTGAACACTAGTCTATTGGTGGCCAGAAATTGAATTCAATGACACATTTTCATACAACCGCATACCTTGAGTGGGCCTCTAAGATAACTAATCCTAACCCTAACCCTTGCAGTGTTTGCCTCAAGGCAGTGCTGTTATGCTACTAGGTAAAAACCTAAAGGAGACTATTCTATGTAATTTGGGTTATTATCAACAACCTCTCAGTTTGGCAATTCTGAAATGCAGGATGTTTTAAATATACTTGTATTATCTATTAATATTTGCTCAATTTAACACATGGTTTAATGGATTAAAGAAATATTGCAGGGGATATTTTAAAGACATAGTGGTATACTTCATTATTTTCATTGTGATTTTTCAATGATGCACAAAGCATTCTGCTCCATGCTGTATGTGAGTACAATATCCTAAGTAAAATTCTTGTTCTAAGAGTGTCTTTTTCTGTGTTTAGGCTTTTAGACCAGCTTCCCAAACTGAATTTTCATCTCTTAGAATCCTTATTCTTATGTTTACACAAGATTGCATACTCACCGTTAAGTAAGATGACATCATTCGATTTGGCACTGTGCCTGACTCCAAGCCTTCTTTGGCTACCCATTTCAGGTAGCTCAGGAAGAGGAATGGAATGGCAGAGGAAGGTAATGAGGTGTCTCATTTTTATGCCAAGGGGAGCACTGTCTCTACTTTGAATCTTAAATCTTGTGCATTAATTCTTACTAGCCAGTTTATGGTTGCACACTTGAAGTACTGCTAGAGAGGAATACAACCATCCATCATCCAACCAGTTAAGAGCAGGTGAAGACTCAGCGGGTACTGGTTAATAGCAGGTGAAGACTCAGTGGGTACTAGTTAAGGCAGGACTCAGCTGGTACTAGTTAATAGCAGTGGACTCAGTGGGTACTAGTAAAGAGCAAGTGAAGACTCAGTGGGTACTAGTAAAGAGCAAGTGAAGACTCAGTGGATACTAGTAAAGAGCAAGTGAAGACTCAGTGGGTACTAGTTAAAAGGAGTGGACTCTGCGGGTACTAGTAAAGAGGAGTGGACTCAGCAGGTACTAGTTAAGAGCAGGTGATGACTCAGTGGCTACTAGTTCCGAGCAGGTGAAGACTCAGTGGGTACTAGTTAAGAGAAGACTCAGTGGGTACTAGTTCAGAGCAGGTGGACACAGCAGATACTAGTTAAGAGAAGACTCAGTGGGTACTAGTTCAGAGCAGGTGGACACAGCAGATACTAGTTAAGAGCAGTGGACTCAGTGGGTACTAGTTCCAAGCAGGTGAAGACTCAACAGGTACTAGTTAAGAGAAGACTCAGTGGGTACTAGTTCAGAGCAGGGGAAGACTCAGTGGGTACTAGTTAAGAGCAGGTGAAGACTCAGCTACTAGTTCAGAGCAGGTGGAGTCAGCGGGTACTAGTTCAGAGCAGGGGAAGACTCAGTGGGGTGCTGAATACATGGCATCACTCGGCCTTTCTCATGCACAAGAAATTCCCTCGAGTGATACTTGGGTAGAGATATGCACCGTGATGTGATAGACATGAACAAAGGCATTGGGATTGGAAAAACAAGGTTAAGGTTAATTAAGCAAAGATTCCAGAACATGCTAATGGGATCCCAACAGGCCAATTGTGACTTCTGCTCTGCTCTGAGCAAAGCAGGGCTTAGGCAGAGCAGTACACAGGAGGGACTGCAGTCCAAGCAGACATTTCCTCTCCAGCAGCCTCCTTTCTTATGGAAAGCGTTCATTGAGGCCCTGCCTGCGTGCCAGGCTGACACCACTTTACTTAAGAAGTGAATATCCTGAGTGTGTTTCTGCTGGATCCTTCACAATTTATAATGTGGATATGCGGCTTCACTTAGGAAGATCCATTGAAAATGATCTATCAGTGTGTATTCATTGAAGTCAAAATAACTAACTTAATCCACAGATGATGTGATTGCATTGATTAGAAGTAAACACAGATTTAGCATAGTTCACAGATAAAATGTTAGAAATTAGATGCTTCAATTTATCTTTCCCTCCCTTGTCTTCTTTCCTGTATCTTGAAATTTTGTGATAACATTTTTATTACTTTGTAGTGAAAGGTTTAATGTGCCATTAGAGTTCAGCAAGTAAAAACAGAAAGGAATCACTGTTCAGCAGGAATATGGAAAAGTGCTATAAGCAAAAATTAAAAGATGTCAAGTTTACTCATACAAGCAAAAATATGTATATGTAGGTTAAGTATCAGAGATTAGAGGAAATGGAGTTTTTTGCCTTTTTAAAAATCTGGATTATTTTACTAACAGTGATTTCTGTGTATCCGTTTTGTTGCAAAAGTCAAGATTTTAGTCTTTTGAAAAGGTCTGTGCCCCAAATTTCTACATTTTCTCATCATTCCATACGGAAATTCCATACAGAAAATGAATTCACATCTTTGTGTCAATTTCAATCTTTCTCGGAATTCTAAATGTTATGCTTTTGTGGGCTACACAATTTATATGTAGATTATGATTTTAAAATGATAAATGTTTTGTTGTTGTCTTTCATGTAACAGGTTACACTTGTACAATATTTAATTGAAAACTACACAAGGATTTTTGGACACAAACTGAGTTCCCCCATGGGAGAAGACATAGAAAATCAGGACAACGTCCAGGACACCTCAGGTATCATAATGACCCATTGAACTGCCCTTGATGACGCTGCTGTGCCCTGACAGGTCTTCGGGCTATCTTGGAGCCCAGGGCATGTTCAAAGGGCACTGAGGCTGAGGCCCTTGTCCACAAGCTCACTCACAGGCCCAGGATGGTGTCATATGGATGTGAAACAAAAGAGAAGCTGAGCCATCTGGTTTCAGAAAGCAAATGCTAATTCTAACTGCTTCAAGATGCATCCTATTGTACAACACAGGACCTACGATTTTTACAACAGGTTTTGTGGAACCCTTCTTTTTAAGGGTTCCTCACAAAGTACACAGATTAATGAAATTTAAGCATGAGGTAACACATTATTTATTAAGAGACAGATTGCTCAAGAGAGAGATACCTCCCATTTACTTCCTTCACTATTGAAAACATTGTGTGGGGTTGGGTTGTGCCAAAATCAGGAACTTAACCTAACTATTCTGCATGGGTTTCAGGAGTCCAGGTAATTGGACCAACAATACTATTTCAGCTTATTTTCATGGAAATATTTTGAATTTCAGACCTTTTTTTTTGTATACAGTTTTCATATTTGGGGGAAGACTGTTTTGAGCAACACAAGCTTTGTCAATGACAATATAATCATACTTTGGATTCTCCTTATCACACACGCCCTGAACTTCACTATACAGATAATCAATATGCCCTAAAATAGCTTCCAATATTCCTTTTTTATTCCTTCTCCACTCCCCTCTGCTGCTCCATTCAGTGACCCTTGGGGCTGCAGGCCTTCAGTGTGCATGGAAAAAGTTTTAACAGAACTAGAATCATTGAGAAAAACGGCCTTGTTTTCATGTAATAAATGCTTTTCACAATGTAAACTCCATGCCTGTCCTGAAAATATACGTGATTGATTCTTTCAGATTTGTGCCTTCTCATGGTTTTATGACATTTACCAATTGTTTAGGAGAAATTGTTAGGAAAATGTAATTAATTAGTAAGTAAGATGACTGGAAAATTGAGACCATTGATACCAAAATAATCTTTTGTTTTTCCTTCACCAGAGAAAATGGAGCAATCTGTTGACTTTGAGCGTGTGGACATCACATTAATTGACTAAAAGACCCAGATATGAAAGATGGAAAGCCCACATCTAGACTGGGCCCATTTAACTCTAAATTCTACTGAGACATTGCGTATTAACACCTACACATTTACATATGGCTTTGCACACCTATACTTCTTTTCACATTGAAACTTCTTTAAAACTATTTACCGGATTTGACTAAAAGACCCAGATATGGAAGATGGAAAGCCCATACCTACACTGGGCCCATCTAACTCTAAATTCTACTGAGACATTGCGTATTAACACCTACACATTTACATATGACTTTGCACACCTATACTTCTTTTCACATTGAAACTTCTTTAAAACTATTTACCGGATTTTCCTAAGGGTGACTAACATCTTTCCCTTTTTTCAAGACAAAATGGATTTTCTTGACAAGGATTGGTCATGAAGCACCTTAAATTCAGACCACCTTTCTGCTTCCCGTCTTACATGATCTGTTCTTCGTGGAGTGCTCAGTGAGCATCCTCCAACACAGGAGCTCAGAGTGTTGTCACTCCCGCACAAGGGAACATCAAACGGCTCCTACAAAAATGGTATAAAAAGACAAACGTGGAAAGGATAAAATGGAATTTAACAAATGAGATTTTTGGTCAAAAAATTAAATTCATGCATTTAAAAAATAATTTGTATTTTCATAAGCTTTTTCACAAAGTCTGAAAAAATTTATGAAAATACTTCTTATTGGAAATATTTGCATAAATTTAAAATTTTTGAACCACTATCATCTCAAATTGTTAATTCCATTTTATCCTTTCTTTATTATCTTGTTATACCTTTCTTTGTGTGCTATTTGATATACCCCAGACAAATTTAAGAACATTTTTATACAAAATGTGCTTTTAATATGTCCAATCCTACTTTGTTTTTACCAACTAAAAATCCATTTACGATCAGCTCATACATTGTTGTGTTATATCTATACATTTTTGAATATGCAAATGATACTCCCAAACCAAAATAATCTTCCTGAATAAATAACCTACCTAGTCAAATTCATGGCTCTCAAATAATTTAGAACTGTTTCAAGACTCAAGATATGGCACAATTATAAACCATAAAGCGACATTACAAGTGTCTAAGCTTAAAAATCAATGGTGCCATATATACATAAATGTTCATTACTACCTGTTTTGCCTTTTTTTATTAATATCTACTTGACTTTTCCTTAAGATCTCTTTATTCATCAGTACCTTGTTGATTCAAGTGTCTATTTGATTATTCATGAACACCTATTTGACCCTAAATACCTATTTGTTCATCAGTTTCGATCTGACTGTTCAGAAATACCTGTTTGATTCTTAATATCGATTTGTTCACTATATATTTGACTTTCCAGAAATACCTATTTGACTTTTCCTATTAATATTTTTCTAAAATGCCTATTTTTCTTGTTTAAAGAGTATTTAAAGAACACATGTTGAAATAACCAAAACATTGAATTATTCTGAAAATGTAAATTTTAATGTATCTAAATGTATGCATTATAGAAATACCATCCCCAAATCTCAGAGAGTAAATACAGTAAGGCACGCAAGGCCAGACATTGGTACAAGTATTCTCAGTGTCCTGGACGTTCTTATGATGACTTTCAAAATCCTAAACCATATGTACATAGTAAATGACAATTGTAACAAATATATACAAATAAAATTTGTGACAACAAACAGTATATTCTTAAGCACACTAAATTGATTGAATGACTACCTATTGATATTTCACAAGTCTAGTATTTGATAACAAAAATACAGTATTGCATTAGCTCAAGTTTCTAATTGTCCTTTGATCATCTGTATTTATTCCATTGTATGTGTCTTTTCTTGATGAAATAAAATCCCCAACAACTTACTGGTTCTGCTAATCCCTTTACTTCTTATGGCTAGTGGGTTACTGGAGGCTTATCTGGGCAGTCCTTTCTTACCTGGGCCATTCAAGGGCCTTCATTGAACTGACAGCACTACAGAGACACTTAGGGCTTTCATGTCACGTGGGCTTTGTCTTGGTCTCCCTGGCATCGACAGGTGGGCACTACCTCTCCTATATGGAGGACAAAGAGTTCCCACAACAAGGGTGTGTCACACCATCCAAAGCACTGCTTGCTACACGTTTGCTAAAGATCAATTGGACAAAGTCTAGAGGTACAATGGGCAAGATCAGGCTCATATCAGTGGAGGATGGAACTTCATTAGGATCTACGACACATACCAGAATGTTCTAAGCAGTCATTATTGTCACCGAGTGATAGTACCACTGTCTGCAGGCAGCAGGACCAGCACACAGAGCTTCGTATCCATCAGCCTCAACACTGCACTTTTCTGAAGTTGAGCAGTGAGTCCACAGCTCCAGCATGGATGACGGTGTCCCAGGGGCCTCTGAGGGTGCACGGTAGCCACTGTTTTGGAAGTGTAGTACTTGATATTCTAGTATGGGATGTGGGTATCCAAGCTGAGACTGAATTGTTGTGACAAGTACCCACCCAACTCTCCATTCTATAGGCCAGCGTTTTCTAAGGATACTGCAGGAATAATCATAAACATATTGTTATTATGTGCATAACATTATTTCACAATTTCTCAGATGTTTTCATGCTTCCTTGTGGATTCCACACAGTAAACACGACTCACTTCCAATAACTCTTAAGAGGTTTACCTTTCCCCATGAAGGGTGAGACAGATGGAACCCTATACTTTCCCATGCTTAGACAGCAGCTGTGCAGGCCCATTCCCCAGGGCCAGAGAACAGGAAGAACATCTTGGAAGGTGCTAGCATTCCTTTTGTTTTTGTTTGTTTGCTTTTTTTTTTTTTTTTTTTGTGAAGGGTCTTGTTTGTTTAATGCATGTGAAAAGAAGCATATACAAAGAATTGAGACATGAGAAAGCATTGGTTCCACACTAATGAATCTGTAAGAATTAGGATTTGGGGAAGAAAGGTGGAAAAGATTATGTAAACATTTTTAAAATTTTGAGACTGAAACTGAAACTAGCTGATAAAATTGCTATTAACACTTAGGAAGTCTTCTTCAGACTTTTTTTGTGAAGGGTCTTGTTTGTTTAATGCATGTGAAAAGAAGCATATACAAAGAATTGAGACATGAGAAAGCATTGGTTCCACACTAATGAATCTGTAAGAATTAGGATTTGGGGAAGAAAGGTGGAAAAGATTATGTAAACATTTTTAAAATTTTGAGACTGAAACTGAAACTAGCTGATAAAATTGCTATTAACACTTAGGAAGTCTTCTTCAGACTCTTTCCATGATTTTTATTAAACTAGAGAGCCTCAAGTGGCTTCTCTTCCATTCTCTTAAGCAAAACAAAAATAAGGGGATTCTCCTGACTGGTCCCCTTGCTGTTAAGTGTCTCCCCACCCAGTCCCACCCTCTGCTTCTTAATGGAGCAGGTCTGCACCCTCTTAACCTGAAAGAGGATGTGTATCAGTCCCCAGGGATGTGTCTGCTAGCACCACCCCTCATGTTCCTCACACCAGGTCTTCCACTGGGTGCCAGGAACACCCTAACACACCATGAGTCGAAAATCAATGCTAAGCATGTAAGACACTGACATGGAAAGAATTTTTAAAATTATGAACTCAATCCATTCGATATATTTCAAAATGTGCAATACTTAACAGTGAAAGAAGTTAGCAATTAACTTCCAAAAAAAAAAAAAATCAGGAAATGGCAAACAAGTTTCTTTGAAAGTCACAGTCACATATACAGTGCATCGTAGAACAGAGGAGGGGCAAGGCAGGTTCCAGCCACTTTTATTAGTGAGGCGTTTACTGAACTCCTCCAAAGAGCACCAGCTGGGGAATGTGTCTTCTACACTAGGTCTAGAAGTGGAATGTGGAATCAATCTATCCTTCTCCCTTAAGGGCTGTCCGCTGGTTAAGAATTAAAAAAAAAACAAGACTAACCCCCCCACACACATTCTGTCCCCTCAAAAAAGAGGGGGAAAAAAGTAAACAAAAACCCTAACATGTCCCACAAATCACCAGAGAGAAACTAGGGAGCAGCTCCAACAATGCCAGCTGGTCTGATACAGAGTCATCACAAAGCATGCCTTGCTTTGAAAGCAACAACAGAGGGCAAGCAAGAAGGAAAAGACAGAAAGCTGCCTGCCTCCTGGGAGGGAGCGTGCTGTGTGCTGTGTGCTATGCGCTGGCTCTAGACTGCTTTTGTCTGGCAATGCAGACCCCAAGGTATGTGTAGGGCTTGCGTCATGGGACTCCTGTGCAACCTCTACAAAGAGAGTCCTTGAGAGAGAATGCCTCTCTGGGCTGGGTTGCT